GAACAGCATCAACCCTTGCCAGGATGTGAAGAGAGGGCATTTACCTCTGTGGTTTTCCCCAAAACCCAGAGCCCCAGTCTAATCATGAGAAAAACGTGCACAAATTCCAATTGAGAGACAGACATTCTGCAAAACACTGGACCAGTGCTCCTCAGAACTGTCAAGGTCACCCAAAACAAGAACAGCCTGAGGAATCGTCACAACCAAAAGCCGCCTAAGGAGACGTGACAACTATATGTAATGAGGAATCCTGGAGGGGATCCTGAGACAGAGAAAGGGCATTAGGTAAAAACCAAGGAATCTGAATGAAGTATGGACTTCAGTGAATAACGGATCACTATTAGTTCATTAGTTGTAACAAATGTACAATATGCATGTAAGGCAATTGCAATAGGGGAAACTGGTTAAGGGGTGTAGATTGACAAAGTTTATTTTTAAAAATGCATTACTCTTGATGTTTTGTAAGAACTGTGTTTCTGCAGAGGGAGGAGGGGAGCAGAGGGCAGGGAAAGTTTTGTGTAGCCGTGCTGGTGGTTAGCACTCTGTCCCACCTGCCTGGTTTTGGTCTTGGGTGCGCCTGAGAGCTAGCGGGGAGGAGCATCAGCTGCCAAAGCCCCACTCTGGACCTCCTGCACCAGCTGGCAAAAAACGGAGGTGAGGCGGTTATTGCAGGGAAATGAAAGGGGATGTCCAGGAAATGGTCAGGCGTGCCGGCCCAGGCTGGAGAAGGCTGGCCGTCACTGGGGCTGCGGTCAGCTCCCAGAAAGACTGAGTCACCATGGCCTTGCCACGAGTCATGCAGGGTCACAGTCTGCAGTGGAGTGGCACTCATTTAATGCAGGGAGCGTCACTCTATGCCAGACACTTGGCAGAAAATGGGAGACAGGTTAAAAGGGTGAGGTGAGCCTGCCCCTGCCATTTGCTGTCACCGTCCTCGTCCATGTAAAAGATGGGGCAGGCATTCGAGGCCCCAGTCACCCAGCCCTGGAGCTAACCCACACATGTTTAGCTGTGTTCCTCCCACCCCCTGAGACCACCCGTTTCACCTTCCTTTAGAGACGGGAGCGGTAGAAGGACACGGCCTTGGAAACGGCAGATCTGGGTTCAGGTTCAGAATCCACGACTCGATACCCAGGAAACCTTGGGTGATTCACCTAAGCTCTCTGACCTGTTTCTCTAGTTGTAAAATGCAGATAATACACCTGCCTCGCCCACCTCATGAGGTTGAGTCAAGGATGAAATGAGAAGAGGCAACAGACCAGGAAACATTCTCTTAGGGATATTGTTTGGGTGGATGTGGCAAGGATGGTCATTGTTCTTCTGTCATCAAGTAAGGACCTTCCTTCATGACCGGCTAATCTGGGGTAAAGTTTTGTATGATTTAGGATGTTTAGGTTGCAAGTTATAGTAAATGCAACCCAAATTAGCCAACAGTTGAAAAATCCAGAGGCGGGTAGGCAGCAGGAGCAGTGCGATCGGGTCAGGTCATGTTTCTCAGCCTCTCGGGAAACCTTTGTGTACCAGCTTCTAAAGCTGCTTTGCGTTTAGTTAGGAAGATGGTTTTTCAGAAGTCCGAGGCCCCATGTTCCACCATCCCTAACAGGAGTAGCTGCTTTTTTTATCATAACATGTCTAGGGCTCCTCTCTTTGGTCTATTTTAGGTTACACGCTTGGCTCTGAATCAGTCACTGAGGCTAGGACAAGCCATGTTTATTGGCTTAGACCTGGGTTATTACTAAACCTGAACAAATTACTGAGGCAAAGAGAGGCGGATTAAAATGATTGGTTTAGGCCAATCAGGGCTTGGCCCTGGAGGTAGGAGGGGGTCAAATCCGCGCAAGTCTTTTGTCTGCCACAGTTGGGGAGGGGAGGAAAGGATGCCAGCAATGACCACTACAGGATTTTATCACAGTGAGCGTTCGCCGCAGTGGCGAACAAGAGTAATTAGCCTCCTAGCACCCTTTTCCCCCTTTGGGTTATAACCCTAACTTGCATTTTGGGCTTCATTCTTCCCAGTTCTTAGACTATGTGCCTCTGTTGGAGCTCCTTTTCCTGCTCATAGGAGAAGCATGTGATCAAGACTTAGGGCAATCAGTGCACTGTATTCTGGCCACTGGATGGCTTCTCAGCCAGGCACTTGATTTGATCGAAGCCGGGGAAACACAATGATACTCACTGGGGAGGAAGGCTGAGACTGTGCCAGTTGCTCTTGTCTGCTAAACTTGTCCCTAAGAGGATGTAAGGTCTGGACTGTTGCTGCTGCTATTTGACAGCCACATGGTAGGAGCCTGAAGCTCAAGCTAATACAGAGAGATGGAGATAGGGGGAGAGACCTACTGAAGTCACCACACAGCCAACCTCATTCCTGGACATTTCTGTTTACCATCATCAACACATTTCCTCTTTGCCATAAGCCAGTTTGGGTCAAGTTTTCTGAGCTGAGACAATGTCTTAAACCCTGTCATTCTTCCTCTTGTTCAAAGGCAATGAATGCCCACAGCAGTGCATGTGGGTGGGTAGAACATTTGTCCAAACTTCACCATCTGTCATTTGACACTAATATCACATGGATATTATCCCCAAAAGAATATGTGTGTCCCCAAATGGAAGCAACGCTGAGTGGCTCTCCATCAGAGACCTCTGTGTCCCATTAACGTCAGGTTCAGTTATCAGCGTTAGAAAAGCAAACTTTCACAGAACTGAACTTACCCCAGGCAGTGAATGAGAGACATCCGATGTCTTTCTGATTTGGTTTATACAGTGCCTGTATCTTACTAGCCCTGGTCACAGTGTCTCAGAAGCCTACAGGCATAAGAACATTCTTTTTCCACCCCAGGCCATTACCCTTCCCTCTGAGCTCGGATACTAAAAGGTACTGGCAAATTCCAGTGGTAGCCCAGTGACCCACTTCCATAAGGAGGTAGGACCGATGTAAACAAGGTGGGAACAGAGAAGCTCTTCGGTTTTCATACTGGAGTGGCAGCATTGTCATCTGTATGTCTGACATCTAAAGCTGACGGGTGCTGCTCCTACCGACAATATAGTTCACCGGGAGCAATTGGGGAGCTCCATTTTTAATTCCTGGCTATCAAGCCCCCACCAGAAGTATAGCGTAGATGATTCATATCGGTGAATAGCCAAGGTCACTTAAGTAACCACCCCCTTGGGTTGTCTAAACTGAATCTCACTGCTAGGTGAAATCACCAGGAAGCAACATAACAAGGTCTCAGGCTAGCCCTCAGTGCAAGGCCAACGTGGGACCTCTGCTTTAGTGCGAGGTCTTCCCAAGAAGTGTCTTCCTCAAGAATACTACCGCAGTGTCCACAGTGCAGTGGCCAGAATCCAACTCGCGGCTTCTGACTCCGAACTAATACCTCGAAGAGAAGGCAGTTTAGGAATACTGTCGACTGGGACGGTATTTTTATTTCAGGGGAGTTTGCACTGGCTTAACCAAGAGGCTCCCCTGCTGCTCCCAATAGGATCTGGCAGCCTTCCCAGCCTACAAAGCACTCAACATGGGGGTGAGATGGGTCCAAGGGGGAAGTTGGGGCTCATTTGGATATAGAGTCTGTAATAGTTTTCTATTTCTTTATTGATGAGGGAAATATTTATTTGGAGTAATCTACCTTGTGTGCTATGTAAGTGCCTTCTACTTAAGGATCCACAGGATAAATCTGAGAATTTACCTCAAGGACCCACTTTGAATGCTGTTCAAGTCAGGAAACCCTCCAGACTCAACTGGGAGCAGAAAGGAAGTCTCATGGATATGCCAGTAAGAATCTTATTCTAAGATAAGAATACCAGTAAACGACCCACTCTTCTCTACTTGGCCAAACTTTAGCTACCTTTTGGGACCCAGCCCACACCCTGCCTCCTGGGTGGAAAGCCAGCTCACACTGAGCAATCCCTCCTGTCTCTTCACCACACCAATTCCTACTGCAGTTAATCTCAGAATACCTTGGGGCTGTTGGCTGTAAACAAAAAGCCAGATATTTCTTCAGCAAAATGGATTTATTTGGGAACAACAAGTATTTGCAATCTTGTGCTTGAGACAGGTCGACAAAGCTGTGGCAAGCCACCTGCAAGTCAGGTTGGCTCAAACAAAGAGGAAGGTCTTAAACAGACGGGAAAGGAAGTTGGGTAGGGCTGTTGCAGTTTCCCCCTTGTGCTTTGTGCTCCACATGTAAGAGCTCCCCCTTCTGGTCATCCTACTTCACTTTAAATGAGGTTTCTGTTCATTAATTTTTTACAAGGCTACTGGTACAATGCACGGACAGTGGGTAGGAGTGGAATTTTAGAATCTCTGGTAGAGTTGGTGTTTTTGTTGTAGTGATGGGGGTGCAATGCATTTCAATATGTTGCTTTGTAGCCCAAACTTTATTTAGCAGAGCAAAAATAACATGCAGGCAGGAATTACATTTCAGGGTGTAGATTTGGTTTATGCTCTACCTCTGAGGACAGCCCCTTCTCATCCATCAAGGAGGATCAGGCCACAGAGCACCCACATTCTTGGTCTCCCTTGGAAAAGGGTCTCTTGCCAGATGAGGAAAGCTGGGCGACCACAGGATTCTGACCTATCCCTGTGACCGCTCCCCGCTTCTGGCCAGGACATGCACCCAGCCACTGATTGCTGAACGCCTGCGTTAGGACTCAGGAGCACAGCCCCTTACAGTCACGTCGACGGGACAGGCACCCAGACAGACCATGAAACGCAGTGTGCAGAGGTGCTGGGACAAAAGTAAAGCGAATGGCCCCAGGGAACTTGGGAAACAGCTTCTCCCAGCCCTTGCTAGGCCCGCTGTGTCCTCAGCTGGAGAAGGTCTGTGAGGGCGGAAGCCAATTCCGGCCTCTGCGATCACTAATGCTCCTGGTGTGCAATCTCGCTCTCAGGAGACTGACGACCGTGAACAGCCTTTAACAACTCCTAACACTGAGCATTCTGGAGGAATTTTCTTAGTACCAGTCACAAATGAGAGACATCATAGAAAATGTTATTCCTTTATTATTTCAAGGAGGTAATACATAGTCCAATACACCAAAGCAATAGGGAATTAGAGGCAGCAAATGGCCAGAGTTTTTGAGAAGAGCCTCACGCTGCATCTCTGAGCTCTCACTTGCCCACGGCCCATGGCTGCCTATGTGAACGCCCCATCAGCGACAAGGAGCTGGCTGTGACTGTAGTGGTGGACAGATGACCCAACTCGACACCCCACTGACCAAGAAAGGGTTCCGTGTGAGCAGCAGAGGCTGAACACACCAGGCAGCACTCCGCCCTGCCACGGCCCCGTCCAGCGGCTGCCGCCTTAGCAGCAGCCAGCCTGTCTAGCATTCGATTTTATTTCTCTGAGCCTGGGGTGGGCAGAATGTGAATAAATCCTGAGTCCGAAATTAAGGTGAAAGGCTTAGTAGTGTTAATACTCCGGACGAGAGACGATAACACTGTCTTTGAAGAGGGTGGGCTGGGGCTCTGGTGAAAAAAAGATGGAAACACGCAGAATTGGCCACGGGCTGCAGGCGCCTCCTTGAGGCCATCAGAGGGTTTCTCACGGTACATGATGGGGTGGGGTGAGGGCGTGGACGCTGGGGCTGCTTCTCTGGCACAGAGTTGAATTCGAGGTCCATTTTCCACTCATAATTGGTCTCCCACACCTGGGGCTGAGGCAAATCCTGCCGGGGCACCAAGCATGGCCTTCCAGAGATGTGTGGCTCAGTTCTCCGGTGCGGAAGAGGACGGACTGGCAACTCAAGGAGACAGCTCTCCCCCAGCCCAGCTCTTCTCCACTGCCAATGTCGGAGAGGGAGGTGAGAGCCTTGGGCTCTGCCTAGTGAAGCCCCACCACAGTTTGTTTTTCTGGAAAATTCATTTTGGTGGGACCCAAAGGCCCTCCCTTGGCATGGAGCATATTTATTTGCCCATGGGAGGGCACCTTTCTGGCAACTTAATGGTGGCGTGCGAGTGGGAACCGCAGCAGTAGATGCTGTCATACTCACGGGCATCATTCATTTCAATGGAACTGTCCGGGCTGGAGAGCTGGAGGGGGAGGGGCTGCTTCTTCCCAGCATGTACTGTTCCCCAGCCAACCCTGGCCAGGCCCGAGTGGGTTTAGATGCCACACGCACTGATAGATTTTTGGTTTGTCAGGCGTGGAAAGAATTTTTTTAAAACCATGCCACTGTTTCTCCAAACCCAGAGTCATTGGTTTTGTTCTGTTTGACAAGAAAGGGCAAATCGCAGCTCCACGGTGGCCAAGGCTTGTGCAGCACAGAATGCAGCAGGTATCGGAACATATCAACCTTGGTCTGAGCGGCGGTGAACACAGAGGCTCGGGACCCTGTGTCCTCTAGTCGGTGGAAGGCTCTGCTGTTGCCTCATCATCATGCTCCTCGAAGCCGGGGACCGGCTTCTGCAGAAAGTGCATGGTGGCCTGAATCACCTTGTCCGGTCCGATGTTGTACACAGGGTGGGTGGGCTGCTGCAAGGAGAAGAGCAGACGCCAGTTAATCGCCCTGACCATCCTTGGAAATTTGACCCGTTAAATGTGCTTGTAAGAATTTAGCGTAAGGAATCATCAGAGATTCACACACAGGCTTGTCACACAAGGCCCTAATGTCCAACAGGAGGGTATTGATAAAAAACATTTCATAGTACATGGGACACAAAGGAATATTATATAGCCATTAAAAACATGCTTTTAAATATTTAATGATGGGGCAAGTGCTTATAACATATTAAGTAGGGAAAACAGAATGCACAATACTATTCCCTACTTACTTTTTAAAAATGTGCTTGTAATTCTGATACAATGTGTGCAATTCAGGTGAAGGACATTTTAGGCACACCACTTGGGAAAATGCCATTTTTCTGAACAATGTTTTATCAGCCTTTTATGTTTGTATTTTAATTAAAAAGATGCAGTTAAAAATAAAAATATATAAAAATAAAAATGTGTTTGTAGGTGTGATGTATATGGATAGACAAAAATTGGACATACACCAAAATAGGATGAACGACATAGTGATATGATTGTTTTTAATTTTCTTATTTAAACTTTTATATATATTATATATAATATATATACCAATTATTAAAACGATGAACATGTATTTACATTTATAATAAAGAAGAAGAACCACAATCCTATTTTACAGTAAAGGTGTCAGGACGTATTAAATTCTTTTGTATTATTCCACTACATCACAAAAACCCAAAAGACACTTCAGGTGTGAGACAGGGTACAGCCTACGCCAGTAGTCAGGACTCACTTCCACTCTGAGAGAATGAAGAAGGGGACATAGTTGCAAGGGAGATTTTTAAAATTTTGAAAGAGTACTCTGAGCAACTCCATGCCAAACACATAAAACTTCAGATAAACTGAATAACTTTATAGAATATAAATTTTCAAAACTGACTCAAGAAGAATTACTTTAAAACCTATATGAATAAATTAAATCAATAATAACAACTGCTTATTCTGCTACCATCATTCTCTACCCTCTCCCCGCTTAAAAAAACACCAGGCCTAGAAGGTCCCTTAGGCAAGTGCTATCAAACCTACAAGAGACAGATAATCTCTAACCTACACAACTTTTTTCAAAGACTGAAAAAAGAGGGTGGGGGAGAGATCCATCTAATTTTATGAGGCTATAATATTATCCTGAAACAAACTAGAAAAGAACAATGAAACAAAAATTTAGATCAATATTATTAACGTACATGTAAAAATTCTAAATAAAAATACTAGCTAAAAATATTAGCAAAGTGAGTCCAGCAGTGTATGAAACACACACACACACACACACACACACACACACACACACAGAGACTACTATTACCAAGCAGGGCTTATCCCAAGAATGTAAGGTTAACATCAGAATATTTACTAATTAAGTATACTATATTAGATTAAAGGAGAAAAACCAGATGCAGAAAAAGCACTCAGTAAAGTCTAACACTAGATTATGATTAACATAAATGGACAAAAACAACTTAACAAACCAAGAATAGAGAGAAACATCCTTAACTTGATAGAAAGTATCTATCAAAACCTCAGGTAAGCCCCCTCTGCAGCAGCCTCTGTTACTACCTTCAGTGACCACTCTAGAGGGATCTTAGCCAACCTTAAAAGGCAAGAACAAGAAATAAAATTCTTAAGCACCAGAAAGGAAAAAGCAAAACTGTCCTTATTTAAAAGTTACATTACTTTTTAAATGGAAAATCCAGGAGATTCTATAGACAAACTATTAACAACTATTAAGAAAGGTCAGCAAGGTTGCTGGATACAAAACTAAAATATAAGTATCAGTAGCATTTCTATACATTAGTAACAACCAACTACAAAATATAATGGGGAAATGAATATTCCAGAAACAATAGATGCAAAAATTATAAATTTCTTAGACACATATATATAACAAAAGATGTGCTAGTTCTTCATGGAGAAAATGATAAAAAAACCATCGAAAGACATGGTATGTTCATAAACAGGAAGCCTTAATATTGAGAAGTCATTTCTCTCCCATTAATCTTAAATTCAATGCAATTCCAATAAAAATCCCATGAGATGTATTTTGTGGAATGTGATACGCTGATTCTATATACATAGGAAAAAGCAAAAAGCAAAGAATGACCAACACAATTTGGAAGAAAAAGAACAAGGTGGATGGGACTTGCCTACCTGTATTTCAGATTTCCTTAAGACAGTGCAGATAGGCAAACAAACCAAAGGAACAGAACAGTGTTCGGAAACAGTCACCTCATGTATAGAAACTGAGTATGTGACACTCGTAATACGCATCAGTAGGAAGAGATGCAAACTTCCATAAACGGTGTTGGTCAACTGGTTATCCATATGGAAAAAAGGTATAATTCCATCCAACCCTCAGTACAGACAGACATCACTTAAGAGAATTAAAAATCTAGATGGTAAAAACAAAAGTTTAAACTGTCTGGAAGGAAATATTTCTATCACCTCAGCATAGGGAAAAATTTCTAAGGTAACCACCTACCCCCCAAAAAAGAAACCTCAAAAAATAAAAAAGCAAATGAAATTGTTCCCTTTAAAATTAAAATCGCCTACTCAACAACAACAACAAACATTAAAAACAATATGAAAAAACTGGAAGAGATTCACCACACACACACCACGGACCAAGTATCAGTATCAAGAACATGCAGCGAACTCCCACAAATACATAAGAAAGAACAACAATTAAACAATTAAAATTACAAATCAGGAGGAAAATGAACACAGGCTATGAGCTGGCAGGCAATTCACAGAAGACAACACAAAAAGACACAACACTTGGAAAGATGCTCAGCTTCACTAGTAATCAGGGAAGAGCAAAGCAGAACTGTGATACCATTTTGTATCTTATCCTACTCGCACAAAGGAAACATCTGAATATGGAGCGACCCGGGGTTCTGTGAGTGTTAAACAACAGTCATGCAGGGGAGGCTCAGCGCCGTCCTGTGAAGATGGAGGTGTAGGCTCTTCACCCCAACAAGCCTCTCCCAGAGAAGCTCTCACATCACAATGTTCGCTGCCACACTAAGAGCAAAAACTGAAACCAGCTCAGTGTTAACCAACAGGAGACTAGAAAAGTAAGTTGGGATACATTTCTACAAGGGATGACCATACAGCAGTTAAAATGAATAAACTAGAGTAACGCATATGAACACAGGCCTCAAAAGTATAATAAATACTCAGTGAGAAAAGCAATGCAGAGTAAGTGGCACAATAGATATTGTTATTAAAAGGCTGGAAATATACAAAACAACTGTATTATTTATGGATACAAGCATTTTAAGTAAGAGCACAAAAACATCTGCAGGCCTGATAAACATCAAATTTAGGACAGGATTATGCTGAGAAGGAGGGAAGGAGAATGGAAGAGGGTTGCATAGGAAAAAAAAAAAGTTCAGACTTGAAAAAGCTCGTGGTTGTTACTCTGAATGTCATCTGTGTCCTGTCCATTTGTGTCTCTTCTGTTGGGAATATTTCATGACAATCTGCACAGGCCCCATTTTCCGAGGGCTGTCAACAGTCTCAGCTAGGCTCACGCCCCAGGCTCAGGAGCAAGGTCTCCTGAGACCAGGCCGCTCCAGGGCAGGACGCGGTGTTGAACACCCTGCCCACATGGGGCTGAGTGGTTTTGAGGGCAGCAGGCAAAACGCGTTCAACAAATTGTGATGAGTGCTATGAAGGGCACAAACAAGGCGCCGCGGTGGAGCATTGGGGAGATCTCATTTACAGAAGGTGGGCTTCTCAGAAGGGAGGGCACGCACGCTGAGGGAGCCTGTGGCGAAGGGGTGTTAGGTGCCTTCATCCTGCCTTACCAGAGCATTTTCAGGTACACCCAGGACCACATCGTGCAACATGGCTCCGCTGCCGAAGTGCTGAGCTATGGACAGGCCGCTCAGGCAGTAGCAGGTGTGGTAGAAATCCCGCGACCTGCAAAGACAGGGCAGCTCTGAGCAGGTGCTCCCTGCTCCCCACAAGCCCCTACCTCACCCCCACCCCAGCCTCCAACAACAGAGGGCCGCACAGACTGAGAGGCCAAGCACTCACAGGTCCCACCTGCCCGCCTCACGCAGCTCCAGGCATCCTGGCCTGCTGCAGCTGCGTTTCCAAAGCCCCGTGCTGCAGCCCTGCCAGGCAGCAGACGCTGTCATGTCGGGGTCAGCCCCTCCAGCTGGCTTCCAGAAAGGGCTCTCCTGGGTAGTGCTAGCACTAAATTAATATAGTTCTTACACACACACACACACCAAAAACCAAAAAACCAACACCACAATGTCTAGAAATGAGCCAAATTCTTCCTGATAAATCGCTAGGAACCAGCTTCAGGTGGGCCTTCCGCTGGGTGCTGACAGCAGCAGGTGTGTGTGTGTACACGGCGTGTGTGTACACATGTGTGGCAGGTGAGAAGCAAAGGAAACAGAACTTACTTGATTTCCTTTTTTCTTTTATTTGGCACCTAAATATATTTAATCTGTTCTGTAATAGTTGTGATTATAGTCTCTGTTTATGATACTCAAGGATTTTGAAATCCTGCATCCTGTTCTATTTAAATCAGTTTGGTTAAAAGGAAAAAAAAGAGGAAGAAAAGCTGCCATCAATCTCTTTGCCTGCCTGGCGGCGGGGGGCACCAAAGCTGGGGGAAAGGATGGGCACTGGACGTGCCAGGGCCGATGGCACTCAAAGGGGGTGCTCCCGAACTGGGGGTGCTTCTGCCCACTCCACACCTAAGCAGCCAGATGGAAAGGGACACCCTGGCTTTTTGAAGGCCGACCCTCTGGCTCTGAGCAGACCGGAGGTGCACACCTCCCTGCCTCTTCCCCCGGCGCCTCCCCGGAGGGAAGGCACTCACTTGCCAGGTTTATCCAGAAGCCCGCCGGCGGGGCACTGGCAGCACATGAGGATGTACTCCTGCAGGGCCTGCTGATGAAACATCCAGTGGCTCATGCTGAGCGCAGGGTCACCTGCAGAAAGGCAAAGGGTCAGTGCGGGGCCTGGGGCCCGGTGAAAGGCCAGCGCAGTATCAATGACTCCTTTGTATTTTATTACCCGTGATATGCCCCTTCTCCTGAACCTTGATGTGAGCCAAAGAGCAGCAGTGCGGGGTGGCTTTGGCTTTGTTTGAAATACACCCATTACCTTGGACGGCCACCTTCAACCACATCGGGGGCAGCCATGGACTGGCTGGCTCGCTCGGCTGTCCAGGCTGACCTCTGGCACTCCTCGCTTGGGCCGCAGCTCCTTACTCTCGGCTTCTAAGGCATCCCCTCTAGCTCATCTCTGAAACTTGTTAACCAAACTCTAATTAGCTAAGAACTCTTCACAGGGACGATCATGTCTGTTTATTCTACTTCTCTAAGCCTGAATTTAATCTATATCCAAAGGGAATTCTCCAACTTTTCTCTTGGCTCAAAAATGTCCCTGAGAAGCATTGCAAGGAACTGCAGTCTTGCATCATGTAGTATGGTAGCCCAAGCAGAAACTGGCAATTCTGGTAATGGTGCTCAAGCACTGTCAAGCAACTGGGCTTCTTCACGCTGGGGCTCAAGCAGTGTGAGCAAAAAATTCTGATCAGAAAACATGGCTATAAAGTGGGGAGGAGGCACAAATCACCGAGAGACAGATGTGCACAGAAACATTTACATGGGGATTGATTTCTTAAAAATACACACATAAGATGTGCATTAGGCCCTTGGTCAGTTTTATACTTTGATACCTGGGCTACAAAGATAGCAAACAATGGCAATTGAAAGCTATTTTTTCTTTCTTCCAGTCATTTTTTGGTCTTGAAGCAATTTTCTATATAGTTATACTTTTACACAATATCAAGTTTTTCATTTAACACTACAGGTATAAACTTTCCTGTTCTGCTACATAATTTTCATAACCATCATTCTGAAGAGCCACATAGTATTTCATTGAGTGGATGTACAAGTTAATTGTATTAATATAGGCACTGGGCCCAAACTCATATATATTAGTATAGCATCTTTTATGGTAAAAATTTGTCAATGTTTACAGTAAATGCACTATGTAAAGGGAGTAGGAAAGCAAAATATTTAACTGTGGGAAATATATATATCAATATAGATATAGATATCAATATAGATACATAGAGAGAGAGAGAGAGAATATACAGAAAAATAGTTTTTAAATTTCTTAGACAGTAAGAGATGGGACAGTTGGAAAGCAACCGCTATTCCCTGGTTTAAGCACTAGGTGCTGTGCCGTGGATGGCTGACATTTCTGGGGTCACGTACAAAACCCCCAAGTCACGCTCGGCCCCTGAGACGCTCACGCTGGGTGAGGCACACAGGAACTCAACCCGGCACAAGAAGAACTCTCAGGTCTCTGTCTCCGGCTCAGTCCACGCCAAGACACAGGCCCACTGAAGCACTAGCACTACTGCAGTTACTTCCCTCTTTCTTCTTTCCCCACCTATGAGCACAGTGGACTTTGTGCTCACACACATCCGTGATGGGACTTCACCCCATCTCCTTTTACTTATTTCCAAGGTTGTTTCCAATTCCATGCAATTATTTCAAAAAATGTTGCAATACACATCTCTGTGAGTCTTCTCTAGGTTAGGGTTATTTTTTTTCCAATAGATTCACAGGAATGGAATTACTCAGTTGAAAGGAATAAACATTTTTAAGGCTTTTAATAGATACTGATAAATGCTTTAAGAATTTATATAGCTGACAGCAAAATTTAAGATGTTCCCATACCACCTCCAACATTACTAACTTAAAAAAAATCAGCATGTGAAACAGAAACAGTACCTGATCATTTGTTATGATTTATATGCCTTTGATTACAATTAGGATGAAACTGTCCTATAACTTTTGTTTTCTAGTTGCATTTATTTTTGAGTTTCTGTTGATCCTTTGTCTTCTGAGATCCAAGAATTAATTTTACCAATCTAGCTTTCTATTTTATTTACTCATATGCTACACATATTTTCACCTTGTTTGGGTGCACAGGTTTTAAAGAAATTATACATGTATGTCTAAAGCCCTCAGGCTATAATCACACTGTTGATTTTGCCTTTGTAATCACACTGTCGATTTCACCTTTGTAATTTCTTCTTTAAAGAAGCATATTTAATGGGTTCAGGGATTCTGGGGGTGGGGTGAAAATTCTAACGCTGATTATGGTGGCAGTTGCACAATTCTGTGTATAGACTAAAAACCATTAAATTGTGTCCTTCAAATGAGTGAGTTGTATAGTATGTGAATTATATCTCAAGAAAGCTGTTACTTTTAAAAGCATATTCATTCAACTTCAGGATAACAGCATTAAACATCTGTACAAATATACCTTTATTTCATATCCTATGAGAAATAAAAGACTTATAAGGTAAATGATAACACATCACAAAAATTGGAATCTGAAGAGAAAATGCTATGTTTACTATTAAATAGATTACAGAGTGCTTCAGTTACCTCCTACATTATTGAAGTCTGAAAGCTCAAAGTTCATAATCTCGACAAGGAACATCCAGAGATCTTGAACGTGCACACCAGCACACAGAAGCATAGTGAGGTGAAGGGAGATGGGATTGCAAGGCGATAATCGTGCACTAGAATTAGCTTGTAAACCCTGAGACCTCTCCCCTAAATTACAGATCCTTATTATTATGTCATTTTGCATTTCAAAGTTTCCTTTCATCTAAGAAACCAAAAGTATTTCCAAACAGTAAGTGACAGGTGTGGTCACATGTAGCTCGGTTTCACAGGTGGACAAATACAGGCCTGGGGTACGTCCCAAAGAACAAACAAGCAACCAGTAACTACAAATCCAGGCAGAAACTCTCAGGCCCGCTGCTCTCTCCTTCCTCCACAAATACAAAATGACTCGCGAAGTCAGTCAGCATTCGGTATTCCTAAGATACCAGTAACTCATGCTTCTACTCGAATACTGTCTTCTACACACACTGAGGAACCCTCCAGAGGGAACTACTGACGGCCACCTGCAGGGCCCGGGTTCATGTGCTGATATGTGTCTGTCCCTTGTTATCTTTTCAGTTAGCAGGATGATCATCGCCTTTGAAAAGTGTTATTTATTCATTTACAAAAATAAAAGTGGTAATACACATGGCAAAAAGACAAAAAAAGGCAGAGGATAGAAACTTAAGAAGGGAGTCCCTTCCCTCCGTTTCCTCCCCTCTCCCAGAGGCACCCACCAAGGTAGCAACTCAGGGGCTTTGCGTCTGCTCCCAGGAAAAGCTGTGTGATGTCAGCCTGTGTGCAAACACAGACGTTCCTAGGCCTGGCCTTTTATACTTTTGGTTGTGTCCTGGGGAGCTCTCTCTACATCAGTCCATTGTATGCAGCCAGTGTTTGGACAGCTCATAACTTATTTAACTTTTGACCTTTTGATAGGCAGAGGAGTTATTTCCATTAAAACTTCACTTCAGCCCTGGCCAGTGTGGCTCAGTTGGTTGGAGCATCATCCTGTAACTGAAAGGTTTCAGGTTTGATTCCTGGTCAGGGTGCATGACTGGGTTGAAGGTTCAATCCCTGGTCCAGGTACATACAGAAAGTGACTGATCGATGTTTCTCTCTTGCATCAAGGTTTCTCTCTCCCTTACTCTCTCTCTAAGAGCAATGAAAAAATGTTCTTGGGTGAGGATTTAAAAAAAAAAAATTTAAAACTCCAATACACATCCTTTGCTAATATCTCTGCAGGTAATGTTCTGACAGTGAGTGCACTTGCTGGGTTCAAGTAGTCTAAACAGATGTCTCCAAACTACCCTCCAAAAAATGTTGCACCTATTCCCACCCCAATTAATAGTAAAAAAGGGCCTGTTTTTCCATACTCTCCCCAAAATAGGGTATCAAGGTTTCTGATCTCTGCCAATCTGATAGCAAAAACGAATAGTATCCCACTGTTTTTATTTGCCTTTCTTTAACTATCACCTTTTCGTTTGTTTAATGGCCATCCGTGGTGGTTACAAGGAGGGCTCTGATACTGTGGCAGGCAGCACTCAGGAACTTATCATGCAAATCACTTACCCTCGATTTACTGTTTCCTCCTCTGTAAAATGGGAATAACAACAGTACCTATTTCAAAAGGTTGTTCTGAGGGTCAAATGAGAAAATGGGTGTGAAACACTCACTTCAGTCCCTGGCACAGCGAGTACTTGGTAAGTCCCAGCTGCCATAGTAGCAGCAATTGCAGAAGGAGTAATAGTAGCAGTTCTTTTTCTGTCTGTTCAGATCCTTTGCCCATTTCTCAACCTAGTGGTTTAGCTGTTTCTTATTGATTTGGATGACTTTCTCAAATTAAATCATCCAAATCAATAAGAAACTTTGTCATTTGTCACAAATATCTTCCCACCTTGCTACTTGTTTTGTTTATATAATTTCCCTTCTTTTTATTTTTTAAAGATTTTATTTATTTATTTTTAGAGAGGAGGGAAGGGAGGGAGAAAGAGAGGGAGAGAAACATCAACGTGCAAGAGAAACATCAACTGGCTGCCTCTCGCACTCCCCCACCTGGGGACCTGGTCCACAACCCAGGCATGTGTCCCGACTGGGAATAGAACCGGCGACTTTTTGGTTCACAGGTCAGCATTCAATCCACTGAGCCACACCAGCCAGGGCTCCCTTCTTTTGTAACAACAAAAATAATTTTTGTTGTTTTTCTTTATATAAGAAATACAAAGTAACTGTAGAAAAATTAGAAAATGCAAATAAAAAAGAAAGAAAACAAACATTACCTGTCATTTCAAAACCCAGATAACTTCTATTAATTTTTTGGAGTCAAGTCTTAATTAAAACTGAAATTATACACATACTGCTTTGAAACATAACTTTGATCACAATACGTTCTAAATATCTTTCTACGCCCTGTCATCTTTTGACTCCCAGCATCAGTACTTGGCCCATGGTTCAGAACTTCCCTTCTTCCCAGACCCTGCCTGGTCCCAGGCCACTGCTTCTGAGACACGGTGGTGTCAGGCCCAGCACGGGCCTTCCCCCAGGCAGTGAAAAAAGCTGAAGCACCAGGACTCCCAGGCAGCCTTTCCCTTACTCTCAGGCAGGCTTTGAATGTGACTAGTCCTCCAGAACTTGTGCAGCAATAAACAAAATGCCAGCCCGGGCCCCCCCGGGAGGCTCTGGCAGGTAGTGCTCCTGTGACAGCTCTCTCCGCATTTTCCTGGCACCGGCAGGCTGACTGCGTCTTATCCCTGCCAGGGACAGGTTTGTGAAAGGCTGACGGTTTTACCAGGGGCTCAGTCTCAGCAGTTCCAATAAAAAGATCACTATAACCCCATGTTATTTCTGTTTTGAAAACACTGAACTCCAGGGAAATTCCTGACTTCCCCAGAATAGTGGTCAAGCTGAGACGGGGCTGGCTCGAAAGCCCAGCCCCGGGCCAAGGACCCTCAGGGCAGACTGAGATGGGGGGAGTGCACAGGACAGAGGCTCTGTTTACTTCACTTCAGCCTCACAAGTGGCCACAACTCAAATGAAATTAAGAAACTAAAGAAAGGGGCTCAGAAAGAACAGGCAAACAAAGAGAAAGTATGTGTGTGCATGTGCACGTGTGGGTTGGGGGTCGGGGTGGGCAGTAGAAAAGAATCTCATCGTCTACATTTGAGCAGCTGCCCAATTACAAAGTCCAAAGTAAAGCTCCCCTCAGGCCAAGGGATCTCGCTCCAAGAACAGATCAGCACCCAGCAGAGCAGACATGCCCGCCCCCTCCCACCTCTCCGCCCCTTCACCGCCCCCCTCCCGCCCAGGCTTCCTCAGAGACATCCTGTTCTCACACAAAATAAATGGGCAAGATAACTCAGGAGCAGCAGGTGGCCTGAGATTTCCAGAGATAACATGGGGAGGCTCCCAGAAGCTTTGCTCGCTGTGCTTTGGTTCTGCACGCTCCCATCTGAGAGGCCACAGGAAAAAAACATGGGTCTCTTCGCTGGAGTAGCGCAGGTAGAACAAACTTCCATTTCGGATCCTTTCACATTTTAAGATACAGCATTTCTTATGGTGGCGATTACGCAGCCAGACAGACACGCTGGGTCTTTTCTCTGGGGGTTCTGGCTCTCTGCCCCTTTACAGTTCCCTTTTCTGTCACTGGCTGTGACCCCGTGCGCAGCGTGGGTTTTCGGTTCTGGTATGACCAGTTCGGAGCACTGCATTGGAAACTGTGGCTTCACACCCAGCTGAGGTGTCAGTCAACACGGGGCCCAGGCCAGGCACCCCCTCCTCCCAGACACAGCCAGCGCGAAGCAGCCATGACCCCTGAGCCGCGGGAACCAACCCCCAGTCTGCGCATGCCTGCCTAAGAGAGGGTTCCCGGCTGGCACCTGAAAACCCAACTGAAAATCCAGGATAGAGCTCCTTCTTCCTTTCTTTCTTTGTACATTTATTTATTTATTTTTAGAGAGGGGAAGGGAGGAAGAGAGAGAGGGAGAGAATCATTAAGGCGTGGTTGCATCCCATGCGCCACCTGCTGGGGACCTGGCCTGCAACCCCGGCGTGTGCCCCACTTTGGGAATGGGACCTGTGACCCTTTGGTTTGCAGGCCGGCGCTCAATCCCCTGAGCCACCCCAGCTAGAGCCAGGACAGAGCTATCTCCATCCCTCTGAAAATGCACTCTGGCTTCCTGATGCGGTTAGGAGCCGAGAGCAATCCTCTAGCCCCCGCCCCCACAGCTGGTCCCGCTCACCTTGAGCATGGAGAGCACGGTGGAGGAGGGGCAGGAGCCCTGCCTGCCAGAAGGAGTAGCAGCCATCCACCAGCTTGTTACAGCGGCCTTGAAAGCCTCCTTCAAACCGCATCTGCCGGCTTGTCACCCATTGCTGAGAAGGAGACAAAGAGGGAGAGGCAATGGTTGGCTAAAAGAGGCACAAAATCCAGCAAGACCCGTCCTCCAGAGGCTGATCTGGGGAGGAAGGGCTCCCATCTTTCAGCTCACTGGAGCTCAGAGTTCTAGCGCTTTGGCTTCCTACCTCCTTCCCCTCACTGCCGGACCTCGAGTGGAACACTGAGGCCCACCCTTCTGAGGCAACCAGCATTGAGCTCTGCACAGAGCCTAACACAATTAACCACCTTTTCCCAGGTTCCTTATGGGTTCTAGTGCTGAGAGAATAAAGAGGCCAAGTTGGCTTGTAAGGATACCTGTAAATGTCTCTTAATGAACAGGGCTTCACCAGGAAATTTAAGGCAAGACCACTAAGAGCTCATTTCTAATCACTTTCCCCAGAATTTCTAATCACTTTCCCTGGGAAATTTAGTAAAAGCAGAAATTTTGTACCACATCTCATCAGACGATCTCAAACTGTTTCTGTTACTTGGCTCCTAAGAAAACTCATCCCAGGTCTCTAACCAAGTCGCTCTCGCAGACTGGAAGCAGAAGCTATTAGTTCCGATGAGCTATGATGACTCTGTCCAGTCTGGCCTCTCTCCAGGGAACCTGGTTGCCTGATAGAATAAAATCTTTTTCTTTGGACCTGTAAATTGGCTCTTGATATCACTCAGTGGTCACACATGATACAACCACTTCTCACTTATCTCCAAGTTTTCTCAACACACTCTACTAAGACCAAGATAGTCACAGGTTGGGCCCCTAGGAGGAGCAGAACCAACTGGCTGGGCAGATAATGACGTTCCCATTTCCCTCCCGGATTAGTTGCAAGGCAGCTGCAGCCACCAGCCATGGACTTCCAGCGCTGCCTTGGTGACTGAAAAGTACAGAGTAGGGATTTCCCCTCTACCTAGATTCTTACTAGACTGAGTTCCTGAAAGGAGTCTCAAAGGACCCTTGCAGAAAGGAGGGCGGGGTGGGGACGCAGGTTCCAGCCCTCCTTTAAGTAAATGGTTGTAGGGTTTAGATTATATATCCCTACTTAAGGCAACACCCACCAGAGAGAGTCACAATCCCAAATTCTTTAAAAAAAGATTTAAAAAATTGCACTACAGATGTAGGCACTAACTTATCACCAGTCTTAAATGAATCAGTGCTTTGGGACTGATGCCATTCAATGAAAGTAAGTTATGTATTATGCAGGAAAAGAGGTAATAGGCACTATCATGGGAAGCCCACACTTCATTTTTATTTACCCCACATGTTAAATATTTTTAAGCCAGACTAATCAATTTTTCCCAGTGTCTAAGCCCATGGGTTCCTCCTGTCAACTACGTAAAATCCTTCAGATAGGGGCCCTACTTCTCCCAAAGCAAATGGAGGGGAGGGAGTAGTTTGGGGAAGAAGGACATTAACATTCCTGGAGCACCTACTACGTGCCAGGCTGTTTATGTATGTTTTTTCTGCTAACCTTCAAGGAACTATTATCTCTAACTTACAGAAGAAAAAAAAATGGAAGCTAAAACAGATGAGGCAATTTCCCCGATGTCACATGGCTAGGAAATGTAGACAGTTCAAATCTAGAATATTGTCTTTGTAACTGAGGCATTTGCTAATTATAGTCTTTATTTCTGTCTGGGAGATTAAACTTTTTTTTTAAAGAATCAATTTATTTATTTTTAGAGAGGGCAAGGGAGAGAGAAAAGAGCGAGAGAGAGACACCGATTGGTTGCCTCTCTAACATGACCCATCCACGGACTAAACCCGCAACCCAGGCATGTACTCTGACCAGGAATTGAACCAGCAAACTTTTGCTTTATGGGACAACACCAAACCAACTTTTTTCTATCTCTTGCCATACTGGTCATGGCAGGAGATAAAACTTTTATGTTTCATGCTTTGTTAGTAATCAGATTTTAGTGGATTTCAGAGTCCAGTGCACAAAGTTGGCCATTTCAGCATGAACTTCAAGCCTTTAACAACCTTTAAAAAGGGCATGTTATAGGAAACTTCCTGAAGATGAAGACAAAAAGCTGCTGGTCACATCTCTACAGAGTAGAACAGATACTCTCTAGGAAGCTCGCAATGGGTCTCGTAACAACTCCCATGATAGGAGCCTCACATCTAAACTTGGGGAAAAAAGACAAGTGTCAATTGCACCCGGTTTGTTTTCAGGTCACAGCGAGGGAGCACATGCTTCCCAAAGACATCTGCTGGGTGGCTGTGGCTGTGGGGGTGTGTGTGTGCTAGATCGTCAATGATAATTCGACTGTAATCTAGTGATCCCTTGAAGCTGATGGTTTTCTGAGTTCATTCCGAATATTGGTCAGGAGCCTGGAGTCCAGGCATAAATGTCTGGGCTGCCTGCTCAATGTAATTAGCCAGCTCTGCCCAGCAAATTTAAATGTAGCTACTAAAAGTTCACAGAGTGTGGTAGGAAATAAAAGCTTGGCTTCGAAATGCCTCAAAGCTCTTCTGATAACTTTTTCTCTTAGGATATTCTAAGACACACGATAACCCCTAATTTTAAGAGTGAAGCTACGTTTTTCTTGGAAGTCTGAGGAAGGTACTCTGGCTCACACCAGATGTCTGAGGGACTCAAGAAAACTCTGGAGTTGGCCTAACACACTAGGTAGAAAGTTCAGAGCAGGAAGGTGGAAAGGCAGGGAGAAGGCGCTGAAGCTGAGAGTAGACATTCACTCCTTCCACTTTCTCAGAACAGTGTGAGCGCTCTAACAACTCTATGTAAAGCCTCATTACAGCTCCGGGTTCCCCAGCTCAAGGCCGGAGCTCTGGGGCCCCTCCCACAGCCACGCCTTCCCCAAAGCCTGCCTGAGTAGTCACCTCACTGGGCGCCGGGGTCTGGGAGGAAGATGGATGAACAGACACTTACCAACAAGCTCTTCAAATTTAAGAAGCGTTCCTTCTTGAGGATGACCAGTGCGGCCAGGCCACAGAAAGTATAACCACCATGGGCTTCCATCCCTGGCACCCCGCCAATTCCCCCTTCCCAATTCTGACACCTAGGAGGAGATTGAGAAAAGGAGATTAAGGGGTCCGTGTCGACCAGTGAGCGGCGGGTTGAATGGATGCACACAAATGTAGGACCCTGGATGGCAAAAAATGTGTTCGCTCACATAAAGGCATAAACCATCACAATTATGAATAGGAAGATGCCACCTAATTAATTTTTGGAAATGCCTTTCCTCAAAAAAATTTTTAAAAAAAGAAAACTCAGAAATAGCCTACTTACGTAACATATACCTCAAGTAATTACTTTTTAGAAAAAGATTATAAAATCATATGTATAGTATGATAACCATCAGGTTAAAATAAAATTGAAAAGTAATTGCTAATTCTGGTTATCTTTTAGTACAAGTTTATTGCTAATATTTTTCCTCTTTATTTTCCTGTATTTTCAAGAATTTCTATAGTAAACATATATACCTTTATAACTATTCAAAATAAACTTATTTTTTAGATTATAATTTTCTATATATTCAAATTATTCATTATTACTACAATTATCATTATTTGAAGTTAGACTATATATTAATAGCATATTTCCTAGTCATTAAAACATGTATAATCTTTGGCCCAGAAATATAGGGTCATTTCTAGGAATTAATCCTACAAAATAAGAATGTTTCCAAAGATCAAATTATAGGAATGTTTACTCTATTCCCATATATAACAGTAAAATATTAGAAACAACACAGAAGCTCAACAGTGAGGGACTAGTTATATAAATTATGGTATATCTGTACAACAGAATACTACAGTCATTTAAAATGCTATAGAAATATATTTAAAGATGTTCCAAATATATTACATGAAAAAGTTTTAAAATGATAATGTACTATATGATTATTCTGGAATTCTGGAAAAATATACACCAAAAGAGTTGTTGGTAGTGGATTACACACGGTTTAGGTTTTCTTCTTTTTGCTTTAACAAACATGTTTTATCTGTGAAACAAAGAAATTTTCAGTATATTTTCATATAACAACAGAGACCTTTCTTGCAATGATCTCAAGATACGTATACAGAGCCACACACCCTACAGGTGCACTTGCCTCACAGGACAGGCGCACAGGTGGATGAGCACTTGATCCAAGAGCTGGTAGAACTTCTGGGTGGGAGGGAAAGGAAGCAGTAATACCTCCGGTCTTCCAGGCACCTCTCCCTGGGGCCGGGCATCTTGGGAACTCAAAGACCTTTTTCAGAGAAGCCACAGGCCCAGGGAGGTCACAGTGCAGACAGAGTGCAGTCACACACTGACTCCCATTCCCTGCAGAGATCGCGGAGCACTACCCAAACACACACTTCAAGTTTTCTTTCCAGTGCATTTGGCTACGTGAAGCATAGAAATAGCTCAAGTTTGAAAGTTCTAATGAGTAAAGAATACATACCCAAGGGACCTCTTAAAACTTTTCTTTATCTTAAATCACCTTTGAAGTTTTTTTTATTACAAAAATTCAGTTTAAAAATAAACAATGAAGAGTAAGCCTCCTGCCCATTAGCCTCCTAGTCCCTCTCGCCAGAAATGACCCCTGTTGGTTTCTGTGTCCCAGTCTCTTCTCTCTCTCTGCACACACACACATACACACAATATGCATTCTACTTTCCCTCCTTTTGTTTTTACATGCATGGAAGCAACTTAGTAAAATTCTTTGGGAGTGTCTTCTAGCTAAACATAACGGACTGAACACAGAGCCCAGTAAAATGAAAGTAAAACAATTTTAAAAGGGATAAACCCACCAGCGTAATGAGAATAAGACAGAATATGAATACAGACAGGAGATAAATTTTGAAAACCAGAAAGGAGAGAGAGAAGAAGTAACTGACTCAACAGAATAGAGAAACCTAAACCATCCCAGGGAAGGGGGAGGAGGCAACAGAAAGCAAGGTGATTTGCTCCAATGAAAGGCCCAGGGACTGGAGACACAACTTGCCTCCTGAAGTGGGAGGCATCTGAAACATGTTGATTGGTTGCACATCTGTACAAGAATCGGTTGGACCTCCAGTACCCAGCAGAAGTACTCAAACCCAGAGAAGGTGGGTGTTTTCAGGGGATCTGCATTGAGGATATCCAGAACAGATGAGAGCGAGAAGGAGGCTCTATCCTGAGCAAGGGGGTTTAAGTGAGTCTACAATCTGAACATGAATACCACCAACTCCTTTCTCTACTAGTATTTCACAAGCCTGGCTGCCAACTTCATACCCGAACCAGGAATCCAGAAGATTCTTTCTTCTCTAGGGGAATTCATATGCTCAAGGAAAAACCCTACAGATACTGATATATGAGAATTCCGCAATAAATGGCTGGATCCTAGCCCACTCTGGCACACATAGCTCCCCATCAGATTTTAACACTTGACTCCTAAATATGAACACCAGACATCTGAGCAAAGTCTCCAATATGAAAAAGACATACCCAAACAAACAAAATAAATCAGAGTAAATAATGTAGGAAGCAGAAGTTATATCTGTCAATAAAACATAATACAAAATAAAAAGAGGATAAGTATAAAATATTCCTGAAACAAGAACAGAAGAGTATATGAGAAGCATTCTTTGTTATAAATAAAGATAAAATAAGTCCTGAAAAATTTCAAATAGAATTGCAAAAATAAGAACAATAGAAGGATTAAAAGATAAAAGGTAAGGGAACCTCTCAGGAAATATATAAGAAAGATTAAGAGGTGAAAATTAGGCAAAAAAATTTGAAAAATTAGACCAACCCTACTTATAGGATATTATAAAAAGAGAAAACACAGAAAATGAAGGGGAAGAAATTATAAACGAGATAATACAATAAAGTTTCTTAAAACTAAAGTATATAGACTTTTGGTCAAGATGGAGTCGTAGGGAGACACGCTTCGTCTCCTCAGGCAACCACAAGAAGGATTACAACTAATCTTAAAACAGATAACACCCAGAACTGTCAGAAAATCAAACTGTATGGAAGTCTGACGCCAGGGATTTAAAGAGTTACATTCATCCAGACAAATAGGAAGGGTAGGTGCAGAGTGAGGGTGGAGAGGCAAAGAGACATGGTGTGGCGCAAAGAGGTGGTGGCAGAATAGGCAGTCCCACATTCACAGGTGATGGATAAAAATTGGGAGGGGTACCTTGGGAGCAAGCAATCCAAACCCCAGCCCAGATTGCAGAGCCCACGGTTCCAGCACCAGGAAGATAAATCCCCATCACTTCTGGCTGTAAAATTCAGTGGGGGTTGAGGTGGTGTAAGAAACTGCTGGACTTTCAGGAGACTCCACTTAAAGGGCTCACATGGACTTAAAATATATGCAGACCCACGCCCTCTGGGATTCAGCACCAGGGCAACAGCTGGGAGGCCATCAGTTGCATACAGGAAGTGGGCAAAGTGACTTGAAACGGGGCAAGTGCTGAGCAAACCTCCAGAAGCCAGGCAGCAGCACTGTCCCCTCTCAAAGGTCCCCCAACACACAGAGCCACAAAGTGGTTAAGTGGGTTGCCCTGCTCTGGTGAATACCCAAGGCGCCACCCCATACACCTTAACACGTGTGCTAAAACAGGGAGTCAGAACAGCGCTACCTAATACACAGAAACAGACACAGGGAGGCTGCCAAATTGAGGAGACAAAGAAGTAGGGCCCAAATGAAAGAACAGAACAAACCCCAGAAAAAGAACTAAATGAAAGAGAGATAGCCAACCTGTCAGATGCACAGTTCAAAACACTGGTGATCAGGATGCTCAGAGAATGCATTACGTATGGCAACAATATAAAGGAAGAAATGAAGGTTACAATAAATGAAATAAAGAAAAATCCACAGGGAACCAACAGTGAAGAGAAGGAAGCCAGGATTCAAATCAATGATTTGGAACATAAGGAAGAAATAAGCATCGACCAGGATAGCAAGAAGAAAAAAGAATTTTAAAAAATGAGGGTAGTGTAAGGAGGGTAGTGTAAGGAGACATTAAAAAAATGAGGAGACTCTCCAAAAGGGCCAATCCAGATCATAGGGGTGCCAGGAAGACAAAAGATAGAGTAAGAAATTGAAATTTTATTTGAAAATATTATGAAAGAAAACTTCCCTAATTTGGTGAGGGAAATAAATGTACAAGCCCAGGAAGCATAGAGAGTCCCAAACAAGTTGGACCCAAAGAGGACCACACCAAGACACATCATAATTAAAACACCAAAGGTTAAAGATAAAGAATCTCAAAAGCAGCAAGAGAAAAGCATAGAGTTACCTACAAAGGTGTTCCTATAATACTATCAGCTGATTTCTCAAAAGAACCTTTGCAGGCAAGAAGTATTCAAAGTGATGAAAAGCAAGGACCTACAACCAAGATTAATTTATCTAGCAAAGCTATCATTTAGAATGGAAGGTCAGAGCAAGTGCTTTCCAGACAAGGTAAAGCTAAAGGAGTTCATCATCACCAAGCCCTTATTACATGAAATGTGAAAGGGACTAATGTAAGAAAAAGAAGATCAAAACTATGAACATTAAAATGACAACAAACTCACAACTATCAACAACTGAATCTAAAAAAAACAAACTAAGCAAACAACCAGAACAGGAACAGAGTCATAGATATAGAGATCATTTGGATAGTTATCAGCTGGGAGGAGGAAGGGGAACAGTGGAGGAAAAGGGGCAGAGATTAAGAAGCGTAATTGGTAGGTACAAAATATACAGGGGGATGTTAAGAACAGTATAGAAAAAAGAGTAGCCAAAGAACTTATATGCACAACCCATGGACAGGAACTAAGGTGGGGGGGATTGCTGGAAGGAAAGGGGATACCTGGTGGATGGGGGCAAAGGGGGAAAATTGGGACTACCATAATAGCATAATCAATAAAACATACTTTAAAAAAAAGAACTGAAGTGTAGACAATTCAAAATTGAAGATGTTTGCTGAGTGCCCAGTACAATGAATTTTTTTTAAAAATCCATATCATGGTTCGTCAGTATGAAGTTCCCAAAGAGCAAAAATAAACATTCCAAAAACTTCTGGAAAGGGGTGGGGCGGGGGGACAGAGAAAAAGAGGAAAAAAAACAAAAATACAATGGATTGGGAATACAATGGCATTAGAAGGCAGGAAAACACAGTTGTTACCTTAAAAGGTTTCAGTTACTGAATTTCTTTGTATTTCAGCTCTTTAGAGCCATTTAGCAGAATCCACTGTCTACAACAGAACATCGTAATGTCTGAGATATGATCCAAAAATTACTTGACATATACAGAATCAGAGAATGTGACATAAACTTCAAGACACCTAGGTGTTAAAATTACCAGACAAGAATTTGTATTATAATTATATACTTACCTCAGTGAAGTGAAGAAAAATATACTTGCAATGAATAAAAAGATGAGAAATTTCAACTGAGCAACAGAAAATATAAAAAAATAACCAAACCCAGGCAGTATAGCTCAAAAGCCTACACTCTCAATCTCTGAACTACAGCTTCCCCACTATTGAGTACTACATACCAAGTCCTCAGTAAATGTTGGTTATTGTTATTACCAACCTTTTAAATATTGACACTGGAAGCCAAAAAATAATGGAGCAATGCTTAAAAATTCTGAGGGAATTTAATTTGTACAGTTTCCAACTTAGAAACCTGTAACCAAATAAACTATCAATCAAATGTGAGACCAGAATAAAGATACATGTAAAATCTTTAAAAATGTATCACCATAACCAATGTCACCCCAATAAATTTAATTTTTAAAAAATTTTAAATGTATCACCCAAGTGCTCTTTTGGAGGATCTACTGGAGTATGTGCTTCATTAAAAAGAGTCAGTAAACCAAGAGAAAGGAGGCTAGAGCTTCAGCAAAGGAGAGAAGTGACGAGAATTTCCTGCTGGAAGGAAGCGTCTGGATGCCTGTTGCAGCAAGAGGAGAGCAGTCTGTCCAGACGAAGCTGGGGGGCAGAGGGCTCAGGCAGGGTAACTCAAAACGCAAGCAGCTGTACACATATGCATGTGCACGAATACACACACACACACACACAAGAGAACTGATATATTACCTGAGTGTTTGACTGTATCGAGAGTAATGTTATAGCTCTGGCAGAAAATTTGGGAATGAATTCATGATACATGCATTTTAAAAAGAGGTAATGATTAAGTCTTAAGAAAATTAAAGTTATCCAAAAATATAAATATCATCATAGTATATCATCTGATTTAGCTGTAAATTATACTTTCACAGCAATAAATATATTTTGATTAAAATTAAAATGTAAAAAAAAAAACCCAACACAGTTTGTCAAACTGCGGAATATACAGTTTGTGTATATTCCAAAATATACATCTGTATCTACCATACATTCTGGTTTTTTTAAATGATAAACTATTTGAAGCATCCAGGAAAATACAGGAAATAATACACAGAACATACATGTACCTAACACCTACCTTTAATTTAACCAGGTACATTTCAGGGTTTTAAAACAACATTTTAAAGAAATAAACCATTACAGATACAGTTCTCGTCTTCAGTGGCCGATGTGCAGACCTCCCTGACCTCATTTCCTTTGCTCTCTCCCCAGATGTAACCACCACCTGAATTTGGAGTTTATCTTTCCCATGCATATTTTTATATTATTACATGTGATTTTTCCCACAAACAATATAGAACTGTTTTTCATATTCTTACATTTTAAGTACAAATGCTGATTGGCATGTTTTAACATCCCCCCTTTTTTTACTCAACATTGTTGAGATTCCTCCATATCCATACATGTAGCTCTCATTCATTCACTTTTTAAAGTCACTTTTTACTTTTCAGTTATAGTTGGCATATAATACTATATTAGTTTCAGGTGTACACCACAGTGATTAAATATTACATAATGTACTAAGTGATCATCCTGATAAATCTCATACCCATCTGACACCATACCTAGTTATTACAATGTTATTGACTACATTCCCTATGCTGTACTTTACATCCCCATGACTGTTTCGTAACTACCAATTTGTACTTCTTAATCCCTTCACCTTTTTCACCCCTCCCTCCAAACCCCCTCCCATCTGGCAACTGTCAACATATTCTCTGTATCTGAGTCTGTTTCTGTTCTGCTTGTTCATTTATTTTGATTTTTAGATTCAATTGTTGATAGATATATTTATTGCCATTTTATTGTTCACATTCCTGATCTTTTTTTTTTCTTCCTAAAGAAGACACTTTAACATTTCACATAATACTGGTTTGGTGGTGGTGAACTCCTTTCGCCTTTGCTTGTCTGTGACGTTCTTTATCTGTCCTTTGATTCTAAATGAGAGCTTGAGAAAGCTACATGTCCATATTGATACATGTAGCTTTCATTCATTCATTTTAACGGCTATATTATACTCCAATGTGCCTTCGTCAAAATTACTTGTCCATGTCATGCTTATCAACATTCAACCTGTTTCCAGCTTTTTGCCTCTTTCACGCATCTGCCTGAGAGTTTCTGCAAGAGTGGAGTTATTGGGTCATCAGCAAGGGCTATTTTGAGATATTACCAAGTTGCTCCCCAAAATGGATCAATCCATTTAGACTCTCACCATTACTGTCTAACCAAGTTTTTGACCCTTGCCAATCTAAACTGTAATACAACATTAAAGAAAGTTTTTTTTGGGGGGGAGGGGATGGCTTTTAAGGTAATTTTGAAACTCACAATGCTACAACCCTAATGTATCTCTTGTAATTTTATTTTCCCTTCCAGTCTTTTTTTCATTTTCTTTATTTTCAGAAGACCTTCAGCACAGTTGTCTAAGAGGCCAGGACAAACCCCAGCTCCGCTCACCTTGCTATCCATTCAGCAGTGCCCGCAAAGAGGTCTGGAGTGATGATGTTGGTCAGAGAAGCCACCGAGGCGGCACAGTACGCACTTCTGGAAGGACAGAAATAGAGGGGAAAGTGTTAAGCTTTAAGGAAGAGCCTAAATAAGGCTCACTGAACTTCTTGGGCAGATCCCTCTCTCTGCCTAGTAAGCTGTAATCACCTCCTGTCCTCGCTCTTGGCACACGGTCAGTCCTCCTGGGTCTCCAACTGAGAGGTTTGACATTCTATTTGGATAGAGTTGCTCACAGCATGGCTTCAGGGGAAAGAACATGACATTCTATTCTCCCTACCTCCGCATGGTCAAATCTACATCAGAGGGAATAACAGCCATACCAACTCATGTCAAAAGTGAATTCAGCTCTTCTTTCAAAGACTTATAAGGGTTCCCAAAATTCCATGGTGTCATTCAGGTATTTCTGACATGCTCCCTCCTTGAGATGTCAGTACTGTTTCAGATCCAGGATTTCTGTCTGTTTATGGCATGGACACATTAAAGTTTGGGAATATATATATATTCCCCCCCACCCCCTGCAACAAACACATTGCAAAGCAGGCCACCAGACCATAATGGCTGCTTAGATCAGAGAGGACTACATGAGGCCACTCAGATACATTCCTTAAACCTCTGGAGGGAGAGAAGGAAAAAAACTTTTGATTTCAAGCACACAACCAGTACACACACAAACACACACACAGACACACACACACTTAAACGAAAGAGAAAGAGCATATGTTTTTATTTTTGTAATGCTGTCCTACTTGATTTGGAATAATTCTGCCAGCCCTAATTCTTCTCAGAACATTTATTTCCGCTTCACCCTCTATTATGGAACACGTCTACAAACTGTCTTTTCTTCCCTTCTACAGTCTTTTCAAACAGCCAGCATCTCAGCTCCATTTTATGTTGAAGACAAAAATTCTGCTTACAAATCCTTTTTCTAATACCTCCTAAAAAATTATAAAAGGGAGGAATGAGAAGGGTCTAGTTTCCATATTATTCAAACTTAAGTCAAACTTACTGAGGTATTCCAAAGAAATCTCTGCAGCAGCTGTGAGCATTATTATCCTACCAGCATTTTCACAGCCTGTTCACACTGGCCAAAGGCACAGCAGAGGCTGCGTTATGCCAGCAGGCATCAGAAGCACGCGTGAGTCCTATGTGCCAAATGTTGCCATCTACCAAAAGCTAACTTCAAAGGTCTGCTCTAATTTCAGGTCTTGAGCCTCTCAAAGGGGTTCAAAAGTATTTGCTCCCGAATCCTAATGCAACCTCTCAGGTGGGGAGAAGGCCAACAACATAGTTTGCCTCTCATAAATGAAGGAAGCGAGGCCTGATACCAGAAGCCACTGACTGGTCCTACATCTCACATTGAGACGGGGAGGGAACAAAAATACATCTTTCTGGTGCAATTCCTTCCTCTCTCCCTCCATCCAGTCATCACATCTCTCGGATTTGTCCTCTGCTCTCCATCCACGCTGCTATCACCCACATCCAAGTCACCATTACCTGGGTCAACCTCCTGTCCGGCCTTCCTCCCTTCAGCCCTGAAACCAGAAGACTTTTACTAAAATACTACTATCTATTCATTGCAACTGGGGAACTAATAATATACAGATCACATCACATACAGTCGGATTACATCACTCCATACTTAAAACTTGTCTGTGGCTTCCAACTGCCCTTCAAATAAACTTGGGGCTTCTTAAGATGTCAGGGCCCCTTGCCTGTTCTGCGCAGGTGCTGCCAGTCCCATTTCTCCCACGGCCCCCACGCCCTCTACACTTCAGCAACACGGAACTTCTTTCCTGAACACGCTCAAGCCCTGTCACCTTAGGTATGTGATAAAAGGCCAAAGCGATCTTGCCAGAGTTTGTTTGCTTTTGCCTAATAATCTCAGAAAGTTTTAAAACGCTATATTTCAAGACTGTGCATATTTGATTGGAATATCTATAGAACAGGAATGAAAATGTAGAGATTTTGAAGGGAAAAAAAAATTGTTTAACTTTTCCTTAAGAAGCATCAACACAATACTGTATTGCTTTTCCTCCATAGTTATATTGGCTTTGTTGACCTACACAATGTTTAAAAAACAAGGTAAGAGGCCCCAAATGGAGTCACTTACACTAAACCAACACGCAGTTACAGTTTCGGCTCTCCCAGAAGGCGAATCTTACCCCTGTCCCTCAGGAACCGCCTGGTCGGCGCTGGTTAGGTCACCTGCCTGATGAGTCCCTGCCACCCCCTGCAGGCGTGTCTAGGCCACACTGGAAGAAGAAGAGTTGTCTCGGGCCACACATTAAACACACAAACACTAATGAAAACTGATGAGCAAAAAAAAGGTTTTAAGTAAATTTATGATTTTGTGTTGGGCTGCATTCATAGCCATCTGGGCCTCATGCATCCCTCGGGCCACAGGCTGGACACCCCTGCAAAAGTGACCTCACAATAACCAGTGCCCCTTCCTTGTCCCTGCTCCCTCCTACCTCTAAGAGTATTTCCTCTTGTGCAGTTCCTTAGTGCTCCTTTCTATCTGCTACATTGGGCGCTGCCCAATTCAAATCACTTTTTGCTCAAATAAACTCTTAAAATTTTTAACGTGCCTCAGTTTATCTTTTAACAACAAATACAGAGATATTGTAGTATAATAAACATAAATGTGGTCTTCTCCCCCGCTCCTGGCACAGTGCTCCTAGAACCCTCAGAGTATTCTGAGTTATAGGGACAGGAGTCTTTTGTTATTTATAACAAGCCCCATTCAGCTGTATCTGAGGTGACTCCTGGAGGATGGGGACCAGCGACCAGAGGAAGGAAGTATGTGATTAGAAGGTTAGAACGTTCAGCCCCACTCTCCAGAGGGTAAGAGCTGAAGACTGGATTAAGCACCAACAGCCAATGATTCCATCAGTTGTGCCTACATAATGGAACCCCCATAATAACCATAGATGAAGGAGTTCGGGGAGCCTCTGGGTCGGTGAACGCATCCAGTGCCTGCTGGGGAGGATGGCACACCCCACCTTCATGGGGACAGAAGTTCCTGTGCTCTGGAGACTTCCAGATCTCTCCCTATATACCTCTCCATTGGGCTGCTAATTTGTAGCCTTTATAATATCCTTTAGAATGAACCAGTAATAGTAGAGAGTTTCCCTGAGTTCCATGAACCATTCTAGCAAATTATTGAACCTGAGGAGAGCATCACAGGAACCTCCAGTCTGTAGCCACATCAGGCAGGAGTATGGGAGTAACGGTAACCAGGGGACACGCTACTTGCGATCGGCATTTGAAGGAGGGGCAGTCCTGTGGGACTGGGGTGTCTGTCCCCTTACCCTGTGGTGTCTGCCCTCGCTCACATTCGTGGTATCAGAAGTGTCATGAGTAGAGACACAGTTTTTCCGGTAGATACCTAAACTAATTTTTTGACTTGAACAGGCAAGTTTCAGATAGAAATTCTTTACTAAAGGCCTCTGCAGCCCGGTTGCTGACTTTTATCTGTAATGTATTTTATGCTCCATGATTGTCATGTATTTTTTTCTTTCTTTATGCTTTCAAACCAATGGTTCAGCCAGAATATTAATCCACTCATGTAGAAGCAAATGCATTTTATCGCTCCTCGGCCTTTTGGCTAAAATCAAATGTAGAAGCGAACGCATTTACAATAGGCAATAAAATGGCTTTGATATAGAAACCTCATAAAAACGTATTACTCAGGCTAAGTAATAAGAATTTGGTATAAAATCTCAATGATCCGCTGCCATTGAGAAATGATTTATTCAGTGAATTCTCTATACGCTTTATAAGCAATCATCTGCCAGGTGAGTAAGCTACCTGCTAGGTACATCAGATGGTTCTGGAATTAAATAATAATTTTGCACCAACTGGTTCTCATCAGTTAATGTGAGTCTCTTTCAATGTGCTCTGCTGGCCCAGGAGGGTTTCTGCACCTCCCAGATCAGTTCTCATGAGGGTGTTAAACATGATTTTATCAAATCCATTCAGAAAATGTTTACTAAGTCCCTACTGGGCTTTCTTCTCCCTTCCTATCCCAGTGAAAGATTATATGACACTATATGCTTATAATATATCATGGTATATAATTTTATGCCATGTAAATGTATTTTTAACTTTTAAAACAGGAGTAGTTGATTTTGTTTCTGCCTTACTTATATTTGGATATTTACATAAAAGACGTTGAGTGATCACCACCCTGAGGACACCTGTATCACCTCTGCAGTGACTGTGATAACGCATCACCAGCAAGTCAGTCTAGTCAGTCTGTGTGCCATCCTGTGACAGCAGCAGCCTCACCATGCTCTTCCTTGGCTTTGGCGTCTCTAACGGCAGGAGAGCCCTCGAGCCCACTGATGCAGCAGCCTGAGAACAACCCCACTCACCTCACATCCACCTCGCCTCCAACGTGCATGAGGAAAGAGCCGTCAGGCTGCTTCAGGGAATACAAGTACTGCAGAAGCTTCTCTCTGAGAAACGAATGGGAAAGAGGCCAGAGATGGCGAGGTCAGTGCGGTGTCAGCAGGCAGGGCGCCCTCCTGCGTTTCCGTCACTGTCGGCTTTGGCTGTACCTGTTAATGACGTCATAGGCCTCCTCAGTGCCAATGATGCACAGGGCATTGACTGCTGCATACGTGGGTGCAAGGTGTGGGTGCTGGCCAGGGCCCCCTCCAAAGCCCCCGTCTGGGCTTTGACACAGCTCCAGGAACTGACACACACTAGGTACGCAGCCAAGGAGAAAAGCAAAGTCAGACATTAATTTCAAAATATGAAATTCCACCAGAGTCCAAACGTTCCCCAGTCCCTCAAAAGGAAAAAGAAAAAAGCTCTCCTCCCACCTATTGAATACATATTAAAAGTAGTTAACCCCTGCGGAAGGCCTAACCCCCTACCCTGCTATCACCAGCCTTCCGTGCCTTCCCATCTGAATTTCACATTCAAGCATTTGCCTCGTCACGAGGCAAAAACGTAAGGCCGGGCAGGAACAAATGGCGTTTCACAGAGCTGGGGGAATTGGCATGCTTCTTGACCCAATCTACCCCACGCTTTTCGTTCAACTGCTTCTTTCCACACTAACCACCCAGGTCTAGACCCATCACCTAGGCCTACAAGAATATTTAAAGCGATGCCTTCTCACTCCCTCTGCCACCTAAGCCCCAGTGGGCTACTGATTTTTATTCCTTTAACAGACAAGAAACAAGCTTTTATAGAGTCTGCCTCCATGGTTAGGAGAACCACGCTCACCTCAGCTGGGGAAACCTTAAGTACGGTTGACTCATGCCACTGAGTGCATCCCAGTCTGCGGGTTCAAGAAGAGCTTTCACACTAACCCACTGAAGCTCCAGCTCCCTCGCTGAGGGGAACCCTTTAGTGAGGGCTGACCGTCAAGCACCTAGCAACAAACCCAGTATCAGTTTGTCCGGAAGTTACATTCTTGCTCCATGTGAAACCAAGAAAGCCCCTTTTGACCAAGGTCCTCTGAAGTTCACCAGAAAGGGTGCCCCAGAAAAGTCCTGGTTATCAAGCTCTTTCCCCACAGCTCAGCTGGGACCACAGGCTTCCTATGAGGACAGACCTCCACTGAAGAGAACTGCAAATCTGTGTCCTCCTAGCGCTCAGGCAGCCTGCTTCTCCTGGGCTCCTCTCATTCTTTCTTATCTACAGCTGTCAGAGAGACTACATAGAGTCTAGTTAATCTCCACTGACTCAGCTTATTACCGTGCTTCCACAACATGTTTGATTTCAGATCTTCCATTATCTGGGCAGGGAGCGCAACAGAAAATGCTGCTGACTTGCTACTGGAGTCCTGAAACCATCACAGGTCAAAGACAATACACATTATATCCTATTTGCACCTGAAATTTTACTCTAAGAAACATAAGGATTCCAACTGAAGTTGATAATATGAGAAGGAAGACAGTTTTGTGGCATGTGTTTAATAGCAATTAATTTTAACAGAGAAAATGAGTTTGTTGCTAGCATATTTTCCAAGCCATCCTTAATTTTTATCGCATTTCCCAAAAACAAATAGCTAATAAACATTTGTCCTAATGGCTGCACAAGCACATAAAAAGTGTTCTTTGTCACAAAAGTTTTTAGCTGATATAAAACTTAGCACATTAAAGAGAAAATAAAAAAGTCACCTAGTCATCCGTTTGCTTTCCCAGCTCCCAAGATAGAACCATGCCAAATGCAACCCTCCTGACCCAGTAGCCTGAAGTCTGGAATGAGCTGGGATCAGAATGTACCAGACACCTCTAAACCCTCCCTCCACGCCAACCCCCATCAGCTGACAGGCTGCATCTGACCGTCTGCGGGGCAACGAGGGGCACGAGGGGTTGGGCTTTTCTTGACTTTCAGACACTTCTCATTATGGAACATTCTGATCCAGAGGCCAGCACCTTAATGAACTGGAAAACTGACCTTGAAGCTACCAGCTGTCATCAGCGGAATTCTTAGCAGTTCTGAAAACCAAAATGTGCCTGATACTTCTATCTCTCAAAAGGAGAAAAACTTAATCTTAGAGACCAGAAATTCACCAAACAAGTATTCATAAATCATTCATATAGTCATATGACTAAAAGATCTAGCAGATCAATTTTCTCTCGTATCGGCAAGGCATTTCATTCTAGATGACATGACCAAGATAGTGGGAAACTATCTTCCAGATCAGGGATTTTCAAACCCAAAATGTGTGTATCAGAACCATTGGAGAGTTAGTAAAGAGTACACAGACTCAGGCTTGCTGAAGCAGGGAAAAGCCTGGGCCTGCAGAGTTGTATCAAGTTCCCAGGTTATTTGGATACACACAAAGTATGAGCACCACACATTTTTGCTGGGCAATTAGAATCACTTGGGGGATACCCAATGGCCAGGCCACACCTACTAGCAATTAAATCAGAACCAGTGTGATTGGGATCCAGGCAGCAATATTTTTAAAACTCCCCAATTGACTCTAAGGTACAGCCAAGTAGTAATACTTCTCAAATTTGAACATGCATATAAATCCCCTGGGGATCCTGTTAAAATACAGGTCTAATTCAGTCGGGCTAGGAGGGCCTGACGTCTGCATTTCCAGCAAGCTGCCAGGTGACCGCAACACTGCTGGTTTGGGGACCACAGTTTGGGTAGCAACGTGATGGATCAGCACTGTTAGACACTAGCCACATGAGGCTATTTAAATTTTTAGTTTAAATAAAATTTAAAATTTAGCTCCTTGGGTCACATAAGCCACACTGCGACTGCTCAATAGCTACCTGTCATTAGTGGCTACTACAAAATATAGAACATCTCCAGTATCGCAGAAAGTTGTACTGGACACCACTGCTCTGACATTCAACTATTAAAGAGTGTGTAAAACTTACAGGAAGATCAAGTTCAAAGCAAGAGTATCAATGATTTACTGGCAGCCTTATAAAGAGTTTACTCAGACTTTTCGGTGACAGTTGAGGACTGACCTAATGTGGTTGGTTCTGGACATCGCTGTCACTAGCTGGATGAAGAACTCCAAAGCACATACAGTGAATAATACAATAGTACAAATGAGCAGGGAAACAACTCCATGGTGAGAATTAAAGTAGAATAATATGAAACAAACCAGAAGCCAATTAGAATAAAACAAAATAGGTACAAGTAGAAATATATGTACTTAGGGATATCAGGCATGGAGATGAGTAAAGTGTATAAATGTAACATGGGAAAAAACGAAGAATGAGGCAGAAAAAGGACCTGAGGTTAGAGTCCATGAGTTGTGAACAGTAACAAAAGTGTCTGTGAAAAGCATTATAAACACAGTGGTCAGAACTGTATCTGGCTCAAACCTCCATTTTCCAACTCAAAGGAAGTTTGGATGAGAGATAAAAATAGCTAAATATAAAAATTATTAAAAGGCTTAATATTACAGGCAACCACAGTAGAAAGCTACCCAGCAACATACCTCAAACATACCTCAAATTATACAAACTTTCTGGTAAATAAACAAAAATCGAAGCTAATCTGCAGCAAGATTTTAGCTTAGACGTAAAAAAAATGTCAACACCAGAATAGGTTACCACAGACGGACTTAAGGTCTAGAATAAGTTACAAAGATTATAGCTTTGGAAACAGGAACAGTCATCCTTGAGCAGAATGGCTCAGGAGTAGATGCAAGCACAGGAGGAATGAATTGACATCAAGCTTCTTCGAGTACTAAGCCGTTCCGATTTCATACTTAAAACAGCTTCTGCTTATACTACAAGGGAGAGGAAAACTCCTGGCCAAGGCAGATAAATCAATGAACAGATGGAAGGCAGGCCGGCTCTCTTGTTGATTCCAAGAGGCCAGGGCTGCCTACGGTGTGGGACAGGTTCCCTGACTCTTCATCAAGCACCGGCACTCCCCTGGACGCGGCTGTTTGGGATGTGTGGTCAAGTCTAAAGTCGGTTATTTTATAGCAGGGTTGCCCCACCTTGGCACTGCTGACATTTTGGGCTGGGTCATTCTTGGTTGTGGGGACTGTCCTGTGGAGGATGTTTAGCAGCATCCCTGGCCTCTACCCACTAGATGCCAGGTGCTGCTGGCCAAAAAAAACAAAAAACAAAAAAACACCCCAGAGGGCAAATCAGGTATCCTCAATAAACGCTAAAGAGACAAATCATATTTAAATTTAAAAATTAAAAGGAAAAAATATTTAAGGAGCTATCCAGGAGAGAATCTACTAATAATCTTTTGGAAAGGAAAAAATAAAACATTGACACATGAAAATTTAATTTTAATCTTTGGGAAAACTTTATAAGTGGAAAAATCCTAAAACGATTTTTAAGTTAAAGACAATTTTTAGATCTTATAGAAGCTAAAAACCTAACTCAACGGTGCAGTGGTCTCCCTGTGGTTTTCATTTTATTCCCTGCATTTCATTAAAGTGGCTTTCAATAACAAAGCATGGGATTCTCATTACAGGACATTTCCTTCAGTGCTAAAATTGTGAACAAAAGCAAATGTGCTTAGTGTGGTTCCCAAATTTATTTTGGGTAAACATCTATACATTTGTGGACACAATGTCTTAAGAGAGGCAAGCCAAATTCCTACCTATGAATATATTATTCTTGAAAGGTCTGACAACAGCAGTAAAAACCTGGCCATGCTGCAGTCTTCAATCAGCAGTCACAGGAACTGACAAAAGTGATTTTGTCCACTAGAGGGAACTCAGCTTGGCATTTTGTTCCCTGAACAAACAGAAGCACAACAGTGAACAAAATAGGAAAGAGTAAAGTGTGTGTGTACGTGTGTGTCCCATACAAGGTGAGGGAGGGGGGAGAAAAAAGGGCAGGAAATAATAAAAACCCAGAGCTAAACTCAGACTCTAGGTCACCTTAATATTTGTATGAGGAAGAAAAAACTGGTCCACGTTTTCAAAGCCATTCTTTCCCCTGTGCAAAATGAATAAAAAGGCAATATGCTATATCAGGTAGTCTTAAAAACAAATCCCCATATTTTTATAGAAGTCATTGAGATTTCTCTGTATCTTAATATAAATCTTTCCTTATAGGTCAAAGTTACTAGGCTCTGTTCATAATAAATATTATCAGTACCTAGAATTAACTCTCTGCTAGGAAAGTCTAAGTAATTCTTTAAGAGTTTGTTAAATTGATGCCCCGCAGAACCACAGATACAGTTTTCAAGGCTGCCATGAAACAGAAATTCTCGGTCATTCACTGTCAAGTTGTTCTAGAAATGCGCTTTTCAGTTTTAAAACATTCTTTAATTATAAAACAATGAAGGTTCATTGTAGAAATTTTTAAAAATGCAAATATGTTTAGAAAAAAAGAGAAAAAAAATCACCTTTAGCCCCACTATCCAGAAATAATAACTACCATGTGTATTTTTATCCTTCTGGCTTTTCTATGCATATAACCATTATATTTTTAATCTATAAAAGTGAAACCTTTTAAACTACCTTTTGTACTTAAATCATGAACATCTCTATATAAATATACTAATTTTATATACATATTTACTTATACTTTTTATTGAAGTATAAATGACATATAACATTAGTTTCAGGTATACAGCTTAATACTTTGATATTTGTATATACTGAAAAATGATCACCATAATAAGTCTAGTTAGCATCTGTAAATTTTTCAATTTTTAAATAGCTGCATATTATTTCATTGTATGGACTGCATCATAATTTACTTAAACTTCAAATACACTTTTAAAGCATCCCTTTCTGTGACTTTTTAGGTTGTCTCCAATTGTTCAGTGTGAAAAGCCCTTTAAAGGGGTCCTCCCTTCCTATCAGATGCCACAAAAGCTGCTCTGCCACTCATTTCCTGTGAAAAGCCTCACCTACAGACAAGCTAGGAAAAACTCCCAATCGATGCTGACCCAAGGAAACCCTATCACTATCTTCCTGCTTCAAATCGGTCTATGTCTTCCTCTAGGGGGCATCTGCGCTTCACTCTCACAATACCCACATTTCCTTTTTCTTCTCTCCTATAGGACTTGCCTGTTCCCCTACCGAACATCCTGATTGTGCATGTGTGGGGGAGAAACTTCCCAAACAAGCCACAACCCCCAACTGGTATTTCAAAAACACATGGGCCTTTATTTTGAAAATGAAATTCCTGGTACTGCAGGAACTATATCCAACTCACGATGCCGCTAAAAGCAACTAGACTTGTAGCAGCATCATGATGGAGAAGACAATGCATACTTTCCTCTCCCTCAGAAAGCATCGTATATATCACAAGGGTTAATGGTCTAATTCTTTATTATCTTCCCTATCCACATTCATCACAAGACTCCCTGCCCAGGAAGGCAAGAATGAGAGGTTATTGTTAAGACAGAATGAATGAGACAATGTGCAGTTCTGTTCTTCTGACCTGCCAATGTGACCCAGGCAGGGCACTATGACCAGGGAGGGGCACAGGCTAGCCTCCACACATCCTGGTACAGCCACCCCTGTGTGCTGTGGGAAAATGAACCTGTCTCGGGGCCTCCTCTCCCTGACTCCTCTCCCTGAGGAGCCCCGGGGGAGTGGATGGACTCAACAAGTTGCTGACGATGGGACATGTTCTCTCTTACTGAGAACTGGGACATTGGATCCAATTCCTGGCTTCCTTTTCCTCCCCCAGGTATCCCTAAGACTGCAGTGATGACCAGTTTCTTCTTCTTTAAAATATATATTGCACAAGCTCCCAAGGATGAGGTACCGCACCAGCAGTTTGGGAAGAATCTCAGTTGCTTAGATCTCTGATCGTAAGAAAATTGTGAGTCATGGCATCTGCACACCAACACAGCAACCCATCCAGCGCCTTCAAGAGCTACACTATCCCCAGGCAGCGGTGGGGAAGGACTCCTATGGAGGTGTTTATGGCAGGCAAAGGCATTTTTGTTCATTGGGTTGGCATATGCTTCCCCACAGAAGCTATTCAAATGCATACTGTACTTTCTGGCAAAATCACGACTCCCAGAGTTGATGATAAAGACTTTTCTCAAAGACCAGAACAAGAGCCAAAAGAAAAGGCCATAAAGAAATGAGAATCCTTCCCTTGGGAGTTCAAAGTCATTTTCTACCCACAAGCTTACAATAGGCTTCTAAAGTGGAGGAGTTTCAGGAAGTTACTGGAGGGTGAAAAAACATGGATTTCTTTGAAGCACTCTGTGATTTTCATTTAAAATAAATAAAACTGAAATAAAACAAAAAACACCCTAAGTGCAATTCCAGAGGGCAGCCTGATCTCCCCGCAGCCAGACTCACTCTGTCGCCACCATCTGGGGGATGGGTTCATCCAGCAGTTCCAAGCTGTGCAGGATCCAGTAGCAGAGCCATGGGCGGCTGGCATCCAGACACTGTGAAAGGCACAGGGGAGAAACACACCCCTTATTCAGAATCGTTCCCAGATACTGCTGACAAGGAGGCATCTGTCTGATTCCGGCAGCCTGGCAAGGGAGGGGGGAGGGCACCTGAGGAACAATCAGTGAATGAAGGACACTTGGCTTTGTGGCCTTAGCCAGGAGCTGAAATAACCATATGTGAGAAAAGGGCAGTGGGGCATAGAATTTTACCTTGAACCCAATGGATGAATCCCTGACAAGCACCTAAGGAAGACTGAGCAGAGTACTTCTCACATGCAAGGAAGTTAAGTGCTGCTACGTTCTCAGTGTAGACCCAAGGAGAGATATAATCTCAGAAAGGGATTTCCTGGATTAACTCACTCACTGATTAAACAAATATTTACTATCTACTTTGTGCCAAGCACTCTATTAGATACTAGGGGAATAATAATGAATAAAATTCTGTTCCTATTCTTGAGATGCGTGGAATACAGAATGTCTGTGGTTATCTGTAGAGGAAGAGGGCCCTAGACAGACACATCAGTACAAATTACCTTCTGTCTCTCTGGAATAGGTGGAATACAGCACATGTGTGCATATACCTGGATAAATGGGCAGAAACAGTCCTGAGGAAGCACAGGTAAGAGGCTGGCTGACTCTCCTGAGGAAGCTGGGAAAGGCATCCACAAGTGACTTGTGAACAGAACTTGATCCTCATTCAAGCTATAAACATGGATGGAGCATTCGAGGTCAGGCAGCCAGGTAGCATTACTGCCCCCAATCCACAAATTTAAAATACATAAATGAGGTTCGGAGAGGCGAACTTTTTCTAGGCTACAAAGATAGCAAATGTCAGAGACGAGACAAGACCCCAGGTTTCTTGATTCCCAAGCCAGTGCTCCTCCCACTGGCCCACGCTGCCCTCTTCATAAATGGGCCGTGACTCGCTTGCCACCTGGTGTGGTGACTGAAGACACGGCTGTGGATTTGGCCTGCCTGGGTTTGAGTCCCAGCTCCTCCTCTTACTAGCTATTTGCCTTTGAACAAATTACTTCACCTTCCTACACTTGATTCCTTATCTGTAAAAAAATAAAGACCCGCCTACCTCATGGAGTAGTTAGTTGTAAAGATGAATGAAATAATGCACAGTAAGCTTTTAGCACACTGTTCAATGAGTAATTAGCTGGTATGGTATTAATTGTATCAGGGCTGAGGGGACCCTAACCATGGAGGATTTGAGCCAAGGATTAGAAACTTGGAACCCCAGGCAAATCGAGCCTGTGGATGTTTTCTGCTTGCTCCTGTATTGTTTTTGTTTGTTTGTTTGGAATTGGTAGCAATATTTTAGCATTTGGAGATTCACATAAAAATCTGAATTTCTGGCTTCATTTGGGGAAAGAGAAAGAGAGAGAGGAAGGGGGAGAGAGAGAGAGAGATCTGGCAACCCGGGTCTGCATTCCTGGATGGCAGCAACGGGCAGGAACAGAGGAGAGGTGTGGGGCTTCTGATCTGCTTCACTTCTATTTATTCTACCTGCTTGGGCCTATAGGCATGTGAGTTGCTCAAGCTCTGTAGTAAATAATCAAATGTACAAACCCAAAATAAAAAGCAAATTGGGAGCAGGGCTGCTCTGTGTAAAGCGGGGCAGGAAGACTGGGCCCTCCTGCTCACACTCGCCCTCAGCCTGCCACTCAGCCCCATTCCCCACACCCTCCCCCTGCTCCACCACCACTGCCTGTCCCCTGAGGCCCCTCCGTGGAACCCTCGGGACCTGAGGGATCTGACTTTTATAGTGGGCATGTTTACAGTGTTAAACTGCAGTAGTATTCTCTGGGATTTATATACTGATCCTTTGGTCAGCCTAGGAATTATAGCAGCTTATAGGGCAAAGGGTTAGGGATGAGCAGATAGCAACTGCCTTTTAGCTAGCTGTCATGGGCTAGCTAGAAGAAAGCACGTGACCCCTTCAGCCGTGATTTAAGAGGAAGAGAGCCGTGAGCTCTGAGAGAGGACAAGACAGGAGAGATCCAGCTCTGCTCTTTCAGGAGTGGGAGTCCCTGTTCTGCAGGGCCCGGGCTCCTGTGCACCTGGTCCCTGCCGAGGCCACGTGGACAATGAGTGAACCTGCAACAGGTCAGGCTCATGAGTCTTTTATGTTCAAATAGGAAAAGGGGAGAAAGATCTGGCCGATAAGTTGATAGGAAGACCTCCTGGATGGTGTATTTACCTCATAGGCATCTGTCAGCTGTCGAAGGCCTCTTTTCAGGTAGTGGAAGTGCTTCTCCCTGTGCAAAACCAGCCTGGAAAGACAAAAGAGCTTGTAAACTTATTCTAATAGCTAAGGCTTCCACCCCACTACAGAACACATGCGCACACACACTTACTCTCAGCTTCAGGACATCCCGCCCCAGTCAGTGAATAACTTGGAGTAACTTCTTAACTTCAAGGGCAGCTAAATCAGAGAAAAAGTCCAGCATCTGAACAGCCCTGAAGTGTCTGAAACTGTGCTGGCAAATGTTTTGGGTGCGAGCCTCTTCATGGCAGGTGACTTTGGGCTAAATGAAAAGCCACAATGAAAACACAGAGCAAGGCACCCAGAAAGCTCTTGCACAGTCTGACTCTGGCTCCCCATCTTGCAAGCAATTTAAGTCTGAGCCTCGCCCCTTTCCTGACTTGGTGAGCCTCCGTCATTCCAGTCATTTCTTCTGGGGTCACTTCTCTGAGGTTTGAAGTTTGCACTCTGCCTGCCCCTCAGTGATCCATTATTCCCTCCCCGAAATTCCACCTCCTACATGTTGACCCACAGCCCCAGACGCTTGGATCCTGCAGCGACCCGCTCTCCTTGGCTCTGATGTCAGCAATACAGGCTCTAAGATGGAATGTGCTGCCGAGGCCACCTGCACAGGCAGGCAAAGGACAGGGGCTGCACTTCGTGTCTGGGCTCACAAAAGAGGCCTGTGTGATTACAAAGAAAAGGAAAGAGATGGAATGGCAAGATACTCACTGTGCTTGCTGATTTCAGAAATAAAAGAAGGACCATTCTCTTTTCTAGGTATTCAATTCAACAATTGTTTATTGAACTCCCACCACACTGTGTGCAAAATAAGATCGCGAATGTAGTCTTTACCCTAGAAAGTCCTCCAATTCAGTATCAGAAATGAAATAAAGACATGAGTGGTCACAGTATAAGGGGAAAATGGATAGGTTTCATAAAGGAACACAGATCAAACCCCAACAAAGCTCTACAGGGAGTGGCAGCTCACTAAGAAAGGAATGACCAGGAAAGGTTACATGGAAGAGGAGGAATGTGAGGTGGGTGGCCTTGATAGAGGGGGAAATTTTTACAGGTAGAGATGGCCAGAGGGGAGGGTATGGTGGGGGACGGTTCGGCCAGAAGGAACGGAAACACAAAGGTACAGACCAGCGCTGTCCAAAGGACTTTCAGTGATGACAGGAATGTCGTCTGTGCTGTCCACGAGGCAGCCACCAGCCACGTGTGGTTATCGAACACTTGAAATGTCCTAGTGTGACTGAGCAACTGAATTGTAACCTTTGTTTAATTTTAATGAATTTAAGTTTAAATTGCTGCAGGTGGCTACTGGCTACTTACAGTGCAGCACAGGTATAGTGGGTAAGAGGAATGACAGGTGGGGATTTAGCCTGAATATTAGGAATAAAAGAGGAAAGGAATTGTCAAAAAGGCAGCCGAAGCCCTTACAGAGTCTGAGGTTCCAGCTGAGGAATTTCTACCCAAATTAGGAGGCAAAGGAAAGCCCTGTAGGTTTTGAGCTGAGGGAAGAACATGACCAGACAGTGCTTTAGAAAAACTATCTGGCAACAGGAGGTATTCAATATGTGTTTACAAACTGGACTCAATGAAAGCACTAAGTCGGGGGAGAGATGAGGTGGGAAGACTGGGTAGATGAGGCAGGAAAAGAGATGAACCATTCTCTTTTCTAGGTATTCAGTTCAACCAATGTTTTGCTTTGGTTTTCTTTTCCATTTTTTTTTCCTCCCCTTTATTCCCCTCTGCCCTGCACACACCACCCCTGCCCCGCCCCCGCTCCAGCATTTCCCCTGCCCTTAGTTCATGTCCATGGGTCGTACATATAAGTTCTTTGGCTTCTCCATTTCCTATACTGTTCTTAACCTCCCCCTGTTTATTTTGTACCTAAATTTATGCTTCTTATTCCCTGTACCTTTTCCCCCATTCTCCCCTCTCCCCCTCCCTGCTGATAACCCTCCATGTGATCTCCATTTCTGTGACTCTGTTCCTGTCCTGCTTGTTTGTTTAGTTTTTGTGTTCAGGTTCAGTTGTTAATAGTGAGTTAGTTGTCATTTTACTGTTTATAGCTTTTGATCATCTTCTTTTTCTTAAATAAGTCCCTTTAACATTTCATGTAATAAAGTCTTGGTGATGATGAACTCCTTTAGCTTTACCTTGTCTGGGAAGCACTTTATCTGCCCTTCCATTCTTAATGATAGTTTTGCAAGATAGAGTAATCATGGATGTAGGTCCTTGCCTTTCATGACTTTGATACTCCTTTCCAGCCCCTTCTTTCCTGCAAGGTTTCTTTTGAGAAATCAGCTCACAGTCTTATAGCAACGTTGCAACCTTTGCAGTCTTATAGCAACCTTTGTAGGTACCTGTCTCCTTTTTTCTTGCTGCTTTTAAGACTCTCCTTATCTTTAATCTTGGGTAATGTAATTACTATGTGCCTTGGTGTGTGCTTTCTTGGGTCCAACTTCTTTGGGACTCTCTGAGCTTCTTGGACTTCCAGGAAGTCTACTTCCTTCACCAGATTGGGGAAGTTCTCCTTCATTATTTTTTCAAGTAAGTTCTCAATTTCTTGCTGTTCCTCTTCTTCTTCTGGCACCCCTATGATTCAGATGTTGGAGCATTTAAAGTTGTCCCAGAGGTTCCTAAGCCTCTCATTTTTTGGAATTCTTGTTTATTCATTCTGTTCTAGTTGAATGTTTATTTCTTCCTTCTGTTCCAAATCATTGATATGAGTCCTGGTTTCCTTCCCTTCACTGTTGATTCTCTGTATATTTTTCTTTACTTCACTTTGCATAGCCTTCACTTTTTCCTTCATTTTTGCAACCATACTCAACCATGTCTGTAAGCAACCTGATTACCAGTGTTTTGAACTGTGCATCTGACAGGTTGGCTATCTCCTCCTTGCTTAGTTCTATTTTTGGAGCTTTGATCTGTTCTTTCATTTGGGCCATATCTCTTTGTCTTGGTGCACCTGTTATGTTGGAAGGGGAAGAGCCTTAGGTATTTGCCAGGGCGGGGAAACTCATATCTCTGTGTTGTGATGCTGTATGTGGGGGAGGGGTCCAAGAGGGAACAATGCCGCTTGCTCTACTCTTGGCTGACTTTCAGTCACTTGCCCCGCTACCCACAAGCAAATTGGGCCCTTCTGGTGCAGATTCCTAGATGGGTGGATTTGTGTACATTTTAGGACCATGTGGGTCTCTCCAACAAACTCTCCTGTGAGGCTGGGAGTTTCTCCCGCTGCTGCATCCCCCACAGGTTTTTAGAGGCAGAAGTTTTGAGGCTTTCTTTTCCCTCACTGGAACCCTGGGTTGCGTGGTTTGCCTTGCTCCCCAGTTGTTCCTTCTGGTTTATCCACATGCATATGTGGGACCGCTGGGTCTGCCAGATGCTGCCTTACTGAGTGTCCTCTCAGCCCCAGCTGTCAGTCTCTACCCCTCCTACCAGTCTGCATGAATGTTTCTTCTTTAATTCCTTGGTTGTCAGGCTTCCATACGGTTCTATTTTCTAGCAATTCTGGTTATTTTTTGTTTTTAAATTTGCTGTTGTCCCTCTGGTTGTGTGAGGAGTCAAAGTGTATCTACTTATGCCTCCATTTTGGCCAGAAGTCCTCAACCAATGTTTATTGAACAACTGTTAAGAGTCAACCAGGCGAGAGGTTCTTAGAGTACTTAGGCTCGAACTAGCGTGGTGATCGATGATAAACTGACTTCTGGACAGGTGGGTTTTGAGGCACTGAAAGTATATGCTGGAGAGGGTGTCAATCGCACTGTTGGAAACACATGTGAGACACAAGAGCAGGAGCCAGGTGACACAGACAGACTGGGAACCATTTACCTGCACACATGTGACCAGGGAAGCTGCAGGAGTGGGTAACAGCAGAGGGAAAGTTTCAGGGCAGAACTGGGGGATGGTCCACCCTTGGAGCAGGTCAGAGCCAGAAGAGACAAAGAGTGTTACATAAGCTGGGGAAGGACACAGGCAGTGCTGGGCCACAGGCAATTTGGGAGGAGGGAGTTCCACGGAGGTATTTAGCCGTGGCAAATGCTGCAGCAAGACTGAGGAAAAGGAAGACAAACCACAGAGGGGCTGACAACCTTCAAGAGAGTTCAGGGGCTGCTGAGAGTAGATTCTGATCATAAAGAAGAGAAGGTCAGACTCGACTGCTCTTTCAAGGAGGTGCAGGGGTCAGGACTCAGTGAGCACCCACGCTGTGGGGGCCAAGGGTCCAGGGCTGGGGTGGATGTTGACTCAGCTCCCTCGAGCTATGGTCTGGAGGTGAACGCACGCAAGTCAATGGCAATTTCGGCCTGTCCGACAAACACTCTGATCGGGAAGGCTGTGGGCTCTAGCAGCACGCCGGCAGGCACAGAGGGTCAGAACAAACGTCCCAAAGGACACAGCATTGAATTAATGAATGAAGGAGACCCAAAGGGCACGATTCAGCCCGGCAAAATGAAAGGGACAGAGGGTGTTTCAGGACGGGAACACCATGGCACATTCCAGTGAGTTTGGTTTAGTTCAGCTGGAGCCAATGCACAAGGTAGTGAGCAGTGAGAAATCAGACTGGAGAGCTACAGAGACAGACTTAAAAGTGCATTGGGAGTGTGATTTTAAACTGAAGAGTGAACAGGAGCCGCTGTGCTACAACACGGATGACCCTTGAAAACACTATGCTACATATAAAAAGGTGTCACAAAAGACCACATAGTGTATAATTTCATTTAAATGGAATGTCTAGAACAGGAAGATCCTTAGAGATAGAAAGTAGATTAAGCGTTTGCCAGGGGCTAAAGGGTTTGGGGGGGAACTGGAGGGTGATAGCTGATGGGTTTTGGGGGGATGATGAAAATGTTCTAGATTAACTGTGGTGATGGTGGCACAACTCTAAATATACTAAAAACCACTGAATTTATATGCTTTAAAATGGGTGAATTGTGTGATATATAAATTAAAGCTGTTATCAAAATTTTTTCAATAAAAATGCTTAAAGGGAGTCATTGAAATATTTCAGGCACA